GGAAGCGCAGAGCAAAATAAGGTTCGAAGAAAGGCTAAGAAATATGAAGGAGAGTAGATGGGCAGAGAAGGTGTTCCGTTATTTGTATAGGAAGAGCGTGGACACACAGTGAAGAAAAAGAACTAGAAGACTCACTAGTAAATATACGGCTGGTATTGTGAGCCATATGTCAACAAAGAGCGTTAAGGGAAAAGTCAGGGAGGCGGAGAGGATTTACTGGATGGCAGCTATGGAGAAAAAACCGGCTTTGAGTAACTACCGAAAGGGCAAAATGAAATAAGGAGGGAGGCATTTTACGATAATTCAAGGGGAAGCGCTTTACTGTTTGAAGCGAGATCGGGTTGCCTTAGAACGCGTAGTTATAAAGCAAGATTCAGTAAAGAAGAAGAACAATGCACATGCTGCGGGAAAGATAAGGAAACGGCGGAGCATGTTCTGATTGAATGTGGAGATATCCACCCAGTCGCACCGGCTGCCGGCGGCCAAAACACGGGTCGCCGCGCTTTTTTTTTTTTTTTCGTCTGCTCGCTTGACGCTGGGAGAAAAGCAGCAATGTTTACGCGTGCATGCACTCTGGACGATTAAAATGAATAAAAACTTCTTTTTGAATAAACTTCAAGTTATTAAGACGATCTTTCGCTACCGTCTGCTCGTGCCTAGCTGCGACAGAAGCGTGCAGGTCGGTGCTGTTTGTACACCAGCGAAGCGAGGTTTCTCGGTGCAAATTAACCATCATGATTGTGGTGTGCTACGTGCCTTTCTGCGAATCAAGGCAAGGGAAGACTCCCGATGTGACTTTTCACGAGTTTCCAGGGACCGAGGTCCATGAAAAATAAATCGAGGTTATTTCTGTGTTGTAAAAGACTACGCGTCTCAAAAAGAGTGAGTTGCTGGGCTAGTTGGTGGGGCATGGCAGACTGAGACGCATATCAGCGCAAAAAAAAAATAATAAACCAACAACCTCAAGAAAGTAAACAACGACGCGCTATACTCACAACTATTAGCCAAAAAAAAAATAAGGAAAGACAACATGAGTGCACATATGAAAACCATGTCACTACATGTGGTTATGCAACTAGGTTTTGAAACACACCCTTTGTGTGAATAATTAGCGCTTAATAAGTTATTTTAAGTGCTGTTTCATTTCAAAACAATTGCAGAGTGTCTTTAATTGATTATTCATGTACCTGCGATCTACATTTGCAATTTGAGACGAAGGCATTTATGCGAAAAATTATCTGTATTGGGTTGTTTTCTATGTGCGCCAGATGCCGCGGACACTGTCAAGTGTCATAGTCCTTGCCCTTTCTCTCCCAGACAGTAAATGCAAGCCAGCTGAGTGTAATACAGCGGTAACAAGTCTACCATTGTATACACATATAGCTGGTATCATGAGTTAGATACACATTTGGTGGCCAGCGCTTTTTACAACCTGTCTACGTCGTCATTCTTTCTTGTTTTGCACGCTGATACATGTGTTTGCACCTGATTTGCGATTCACGCATGCAACCCACGCATTCTCATGCATTCACCGGCGCTCAGCTGTGGTAAATCGAGCGCTCCCTAGGCGGCGAAGTTCGGAATCCGAGCCGGCGCAGGCAGCTCCGTAGACCGTCGCCAGCTAGGCAGGTCAGGAGTACAGTAGGTTGTGCCCGCATGTGGCCTGCAAGCGCTGGTTTCGAGGCTACGGTGTCGCTGCGATCGTGCGTTGCGGATCGCAGTAGGGCAAACGCTTTTCTAAAACTCATATGGCGCCCGCTACGCCCGCAGCGCTTGGAAAGGGTATTCTAAAACTCCCTAATAATTTTGTGATGGGTCAAATTTCAAGATGTACGCTGCTCCTCCATCCTTTAACGGGCGCACGCCCAGAGAATGGGGGCGTGCGGTGCACGTGTGAATGGCTCTACGTATACGGCAGTGCAGTGACGTTGGTCCTCTACGTAGACAACTGTGCTTTGACATTGCCAACAATGGCACGTCAGAGAATACCTACCACAACACGTGACATGGCGAACATTGACACGATATGCGCAGTTTGTGTAATTTAATGCTGGAAAACGCTTTATACACCGCAATAGTGAAAAAAAAAAAAAAACATTTCGAAGACACTTGCGAGAGGTCAGACTGAGGACATGGAGACAACGGAGACACTACAACGTTTAGCGAATCGACGATTCCGTTAGGGCAAGTCATCTCCATGCCAGACTATGTCTGCGGTTAAACGAACCAAACCAAACCCACAATGCCGGGTGACTTAAGCGTCATCGTGAGCCCATCGTAAGCAGCCTTTCATACGGGCTCCGGGCGTGTAGAACGTGATTTCTCCACGCGCGTCTGTTCTGAGTGCGCGTGACGCCGTGATTGGATTGGATTGGATAAACTTTTATTGATTGGATAAACTCTTATTGACGCCGTGATAGACGGTCGATGAATTCTAAACTGGAACTGCACCACAGTGAACCGTTCGTCCAAAACGCAGAGTTCCCCGCGTCTTCCCTGCCGTCCCTGCATCTACCAATGGCATCTTCGGGAAGGTGCACCTGCGTGCACAAACCGTCTTCGGTAGCCAGGACGCACCCTGTCGGGGCACTTTCTTGTTGTTGTTGCTCCGAGATGCTCCGGAAAAAGTCGGTGGAGTGACGCTGTGCAATCCCAGCACTCGTTGCGTGCCACGCGCGTAGCAGACGATCAGCAGACGACGCGCAATGGCTGGTATTCCTATTTGCCCCCTCCACAGAACCGGGGCGTTCTGCCCCTTTTTGGTTTTGGGGAAATTCTGTACTGCTCCGCGACTGTTCCGGGGCACAATTGTTGAAGTTGCTGGAAGTATCTTTCGCTTATCGCGGTTACCTCTATAGGCACCGCACACTGACCCGTCTCAGATTCTTTGATATTCACCGTTAGGGGCACGCAGAAATTAGACGCGTACTCGCGTCTCCCTGTATCCCGTCCACAATCCGCCGACAGATGCAGGGCCCGAGACGCGCGCGTCACGTTCCATTTTCACCGACGCCGTCTCAAGGCTGCTTTTTTTCATCCGCTAGGCTATGTATTCTGGCGCTGCAGTCAGACTGGAAAACTCGACTGAACGTTGCCTATGGCTTCTCTCAACGGTGACGCTACTCCTGTGAGTGGTGTCGCGATGGCAAACCCATTAGCGCCCAACGACACGTACTTGTTACCTGCGAGCTACCAGGTGCGTTCCTTCAAACCAAGACGCTTCTTGGCGGGCCTCAACCACAGGTTCTCATCACCAACGAACTGACCGTGATCCCCAGCTCGCCCAGCGTTCAAGTTAACGAAGCAACGCAGACACTTCCGGTCGTGCATCCAAGCTACTGCGCCGTGCCCGGTTCCTCCGAACCTTTCCAACTGGTGGATGTGTTCAGGCCAGTATCTGTTTCTACGGTGCCGGACCTGTACCGAGTCGTGTCTACAACCTTCGCCCCGGGACAGGACCATTCGCAGAACCGGACGGCCAACGCACTTGACCAGGCGTCTAATCTTGCTGCACCAGTTCAACCAGACGCGGGTGCGTCCGTCGCGGCTGCAGTCCCCGTACTGATACCACCTGTACCACAGGCAGTGCCACTACCTGTTCCAGTTGACGCCCTATACGCGTCGTCCGAAATGCCCGTGATTACGCAGCACGGAATACTCGGTGCTCGAGCGAGAAGGTTCCCGAAGTTGCATTCGCAGATGACGGTGGACGATGTCGCCTCGTACATCGCCCTACTTCCGGGGTGCGCCCGCTGCTCCGAAACATTCCGCAGGTACCAGATTGACGGCAAGGCTTTGCTGCGACTGCGCAAACACCACCTCATCTTAGGAATGAAGGTCGGCCTCGCGCCGGGCCTCAAGATCGCCGCTGTCATAGACTGGCTCAGGCGTCAGGAGGAGAAATCGGCGCCTTCACCGAAGTGAATCGAACGTTCCCTCCTCATTCTCTTCTTTCCTTTTTCGTTTCTCTCACAGCAAGTCAGACTGTCGAGCGTTCTTCGTGGCAGTCTGTCACGTGGCCACATCACCTTGGTTGTAGCGGTCCTGCGAGAATGGCGGGCTAATCGCGTTTTTCCTTGCCACAAATAAACTGGTTCGTCCTCTTGAAGCAGTCTTTGTAATACCGGCGTCACGCGGGCACTTTCGATCGCGATCAGGCCCAATCGGGATCGAGACCAACGCGATCTGCTTATCGACATATCTCGGATATAAGACATTATTGGTTATAAAAAGTAAAATATTATGGATAGTCTTGACATACAGTGAAATTAACATAACGTTACAACGAATTTTCGAATATAAGCCGTCTATGACTAACACCGGCGTCACACGGGCACTTTTGATCGTGATCAGTGCTCGATCGGGATGGAGACCGACGCGATCTGCTCATCGACATAACACGGATATAACACGTTATTGGTTATAAAGAAGTAAATGAATAATAGTCGGTGCATAGATACAGTAGAATGAATATACGTTTACTACAAATTTTTGGATATAACGAAAATATATTGCGTCAGATGCAAATTCTATCATAATGAGGGTTTAGTATAGGCGTTTTAACGATTGAGTTGGTGCATTGTGCGTTTCCGGACGTTATCCACTGGCATTGCGATTGCAAAAATAGGCCATTCGTTTAGCGTCCCAAAATGGCGGCTACCATACGTCTTACGTAGAATCGTCGCAAAAAATTGTCAAACTCGAGAAAACTCGAACACTCCGCTCCCTCTCCCCCTTAACTACGCCAGTGCACGCCCTCTTACAGCAGTAGCGTTCATCTCGCTGAGGTTACATGTTGCTATATCATCTCTGCAGCAAGATAATTATGTGAGTAAATAGATGGCTTGGCGTTGGTGAAAGATGCCTTCGTGAAACGATCGTCTTTTTTTTGTCTTTTGTCGCTTGTTCTGCCCCGTCCTGCTCTCCCCCTTATCTTTCTGCATTTATTTATCTGAAAAAGTAAACACTTGTTTCATTTCGTCCGTCGTGTGAATACAGCTTTACGGTGCAACCACGGTGTCTGCGACGATCACAGAGGCGGGATGGCGCACACGCACCACCAGCCGACCGCAGCGCCCTCGCGGTGGAGGTAGCGGCGGCGCTTGCGCCTTTTCGACGCGACTCGCGACACTCCCGTCGTTGCGCCGTCCGCACCGGTTGACGAGGGCGGCGGCGGGCAGCTCGGCGACCAGGGCTGCCAGGGCCAAGCCGTGGCCGATCAGCAGGAGCCAAAAGAGCGAGTGGAGGTGGTCGAAGTGCAGCGTGGCCTGTTCGCCGACGTCGACGCGCGGACAGCGGGAGAAGTCGCCTCTCGAGGAGACCACCGTGTCGCCGTGCCACTTGAGCACCACCCCCGCCTCAGTCAGGCGGGCACGTCTGTAAAGGATAATGGTTGCGGTCGGTGACTTTAGCAAGGTCTTAAGACGGGTGCCATTCTTATTACGCTTTTGTGAATATTTCAATGTTTCGGAATATCCAACGAATATTATGGTATTCTATTCTATTTGATTCGAATATAAATTGGGGGAAATTTCGGTGTATTTCAAATGAACGAATATATGTATATTAGACCATCCATAGCCCCCCATGAGTGTGATTTCACGGCAGTGGAGGAGGGCTAAGCCGTGAAATCACCTAAAACATCCGTTCTGTCGCAATGCCTCACTTGAAGGTTAACGACACGTATTACACACCCATCGATTCATCGTTCTTCCTTTACTTTTAAGAACTTGTCATGCTGGCTTATATACTTTAAGTATAGTAAATTTTAAAACGTAACATATTTTAAAAGTTATCACTTGCATTATACCGAAAGGAAAATCCCGCTACTATTCTAAGTTGTTTCCATTTCCTTTGAACCAAAAAGAATGGCATTCGAAGAGGCCTTGTTTCAATTAAGAATATATTGTGCAGGTTAGTTGGGTCATGGCAAATATGCCCTTTTTTTCGTTATAATATGTGGATACTCGACCAATCAACGAATTCACTAATTGGTTTCGAGCCTGAAGTTCAATATTCGCTCAAACCTGATTATTAGAGTTCATCGGTCAAATAATCCAGGATTCCGGTCACTGGTGGCAAGGGATCACAACGCTAAATACACTTGAGCCTCGTTACAACGAACACCGATATAACGAATGTCACTTATAACGAAGAACTCAGTGCGAGTTTACATTTATTCGCTGTATAACGAAACAGAAAACGCGAAAGCAGCCCGCGATAGCGGCTGTAACGATTAAATTGCTCAAAAGGCTCAAAAGTGTAAAGTTAGCGTAAAGAACAAACCTTGAAATGCAATTCACAACATTTTTATTGGCTGAAAAAAAATAGCGACAGTTTCGATCATACGCAACAAAAAGATATAATAAAGTAAGGGGGGTGCGCGTTGATTGCTTGGCGAGAGTAGGTGTCAGACGATGAGGGAACTTTTAGAAGGGTTTATCATAAGAGAAAAGCGGGTCGGCCTGTGTCAGAGACACATCAATTGTGCTATCATGGATCTGAGTTATACTTTTTTAATACGCAGCTTTCCTGATAACATGTGTGAAGCCACTCCACAGTATCTGCGCATGCTCGGACCATGCGAATTTCAAAGGACCACTAAACAGCCTCTGAAGGTATAAACGACGATCGCTAAGTTATCTCCTCCTTAAGGTGTGGGTCTGTCCATCCTCCGGTGGTGTACGTAGCCACCGGTGGCGCATACCCGAAATAGCGGTCCTTAGAATGGCCGCGCTCTTGTATATGATGAATACGCGATGAAAAGATGTGAGATGGCTGTATTGGAGTGAAAGAAGGACCCCACCCGCGATGAACCACTTCTTTCCTTTAATAAATGTTCTTTCTCTCTCACCGTCGTTCCCAGGCGTTCATGATGAATCGCACGTTTTGCCGGTTGTAGTAGATGACCAGCGGGTGCGAGAAGAGGCGTTCCTTGCCCATGTAGAACTCGTGGTGCGGGTACCGGTGGCACACCTCGGACGCGTGGTACAACAGCGTGGTGCGGTCGCCGATGATGACCGCCTTGCCGGCCACTACCTGGTCGAGCACGTGTTCCGACCACAGGCGGTGGTACGGGACCAGCGAACCGGGCTTCAGCTTGCGGTACACCTGCTTGTCGTGCATGTTCGGCGACAGCTGCGTTTGACGCCGTTCGCACGCCGTGAGTTTTTGAGGACAAACCCTTTGTGAGTTAGCAAAGGGAGACATTGGGCTGGTTAGCTGTGCATGATTAAAATACTTGCTATCGAGAAAGTATAGAAGGTGTTATTTGCATTAAACAATGGTAATGCAAATGTGAAGAAAGAAAAGTGGACGAAAGAACAACTTTCCACTGGCAGGATCCAAACCTGCGACCTTTGAATAGCGCGTCACATGTTCTACCACTGAGCTACGATGGCGGTCATCGCCGCGTCCACTTTATAGGGTGTATATGTGCATTTAAACGGGGTAGCGTCAGTCGGCGCCAGCTCTCGTTCTGGCAGACTCGATGCCTTGAGCTGGTATGCGAGGAAATATTGGTCAGCTGCCATCTCGTACTAAGATCACGTTCTACGCGTGACGCCAAACAGGCCCGAAAGAATTTTGCGCTCTCCCCTAGTCGCAACAGCTGGCGCTGAATGACATTTCCATGTTCGAATCCACATATATGCCCTATAAAGTGGACGGGGGATGACTGCCACCGTAACTCAGTGGTAGAGCATCGGACGCGTTACATGGTGCGAATTCTGGTGCGTCGCAGGATCGTCACAGGTTCGGATCTTGCCGGTGGAAAGTTAGCTTTTCATCCACTATTCTCTCTTAACATTTACATTAGAATGACTTCTAATAACATCCCATATACTTTTCCCGGTATTGGGCTAGTTGGTTTTGCATGATTGAAATACTGGTTGCGCTTGCAGTGTCCACTTGGGGACGTGTGTCTTCCCTTACTTCTTTGGTCCCATTAGGTGTAGCGCATTATTTTAATCCAGCCTCGTATGTCTCGGCGAGTCAAGGAATCTCGAGGTTTTTACGAGACCTGGCAGGACATCACGGGGCCGCGAAATCAACGCGAACGATAAAAAAAGAGCTATAATAAAACATGGTCGAGGATTCCGTAATACTCAATTTCATCTATGTGAGACGACATCTCACCGAAAGTCCCATGGCAACAACGTAAGCATGACGTCAGCAATGCCGTCACCCTGTGATGCCATCATTACCTTTCCCCACTCACCGCGAGAAGCAGCGGGTATGCCGGACCGCGAAGCATGTAGACGCGGACGTCTTCACGGGCGGCCAGTTCCGCGGCCGAGTCGATCCGGTGTCCGCTCCTGTGGCGCACCGTGAGGCCCGCCTTCATCTTGCCGGTGAACATGTTGGAGAACACGAGCATGGCCAGCCACCAGGTGGCCACCACGACGCGGGATGACAACGGTCGGGGCAAGCCGTCGTTCACTGCGCGTCGAAATAAAGAAAGAGGCGCTACACACGCAGCAACATCAATCCAGCATGACGTTGCTCGTGTTTTAACGAACTTAAAAAAGAAAACCAAAGAAATGGGGCACCTATGCACCAGTCGTGCAAATACCGAGAATGATGATGATGTTGAATATGATGATGATGATGATACTGATAATGATGATGATGATGATGACGATGATGATGATGATAGCCTAAATGCATGGCTTACACGTCCTCTCGGGGATTTGTCAGGAAACGTGTAGTGGTTAAGATCGAGAAAGGGGTGCAACTGGTGGCGTTGTCCTCATCCTCAAGTCCATCACCCACCGTTTCCCAAACATAAGGACCACCACCACGGTAGTCTAGCGGCTAAAAGGCACTGCTGACCCGCAGGCCTCGGGACCCAATCCCGGCTGCGGCAGCCGAATTTTCGATGGAGGCGAAAATTCTAGAGACCAGTGTGCTTAGATTTAGGTGTCATTAAAGAATCCCAAATGGTCAAATTTCCGAGTGCCCTCCACTACGGCGTCTCTCGTAATCATATGGTGGTTTTGGGAATATAATTGGTTTGGGACATCAAAGACCAACGATTATTATTATTATTATTATTATTATTATTATTATTATTATTATTATTATTATATAAGGCCTTGCTTTAGGCTTCACCCTCTCACCACCTCACTTCCCCTGCTCTCCCAGTCACTTCTTTTCCCCACCCCTCGATGTGATGCGATATAAGGTTGTACACAGTAGAAAGCAATGCTTGCTTTGTCTAATTTTTCTTTCTCTTTTTCTGTGTCTGTTTGTTTTTGGTTAAATTCTTTCTCTCCCTTCCACCGTTCCTCCCCTTTCTCTTTTCTATCTTTCTATCTCTTTCTCTCTTCCGCTTTTTTTTCTCCATTTCTTCGCATTACTCTATTCTTCTGCATGTTCCTTGTTCCCCCCTATATCTCTCTGCATTCGTTCTCTTGCCTACTTGTCCGGCGACCGGACCAATAGACGCCCGTTTCCTTGGAGCAAAGCAGCAGTAAAGAGGACGAGAGGGCGTGCCGGTTCGTAGTGATTATAGTTTTAAGGCCACGACACAATAAAAAGCACATGATCTCCGTGGTTATAACGACGCTGGCCTTCAAGTTTGCATACAGTTGGAGCTAGTTATGATGAAGACTGGTATAACGAATTATCGGTTATAGCGAAGTAAGAGTTTTTGTTGGTGACCTTTCACTAGAATGACGTTTTTTATGACAAAACTGAAAGCACAGGCATTACAACGATGTCGGGTGTAAGGAAGAAATATTTTTTTTGTGTGAGGGTCAAAACTCAGGAGGTTGCATGGAAAGCAAGACCATTATCTAAAAACAATCTACTAGCAGAGATATCTTCGACTGTGGCTGCGACATTATAATGCGGTTGGAACTCTGTTCCCGTACTTCCGTTAAGAAATGTGACTGCAGGCCTGTTTTTTAAACAAATTTTGTTATGTTGTGATTTAACCGTGATTGATTGATATGTGGGGTTTAACATCCGAAAACCACCATGTAATTATGAGAGACGCTGTAGTGGAGGGCTCCGGAAATTTCGACCACCCGGAGATCTTTAACGAGAACCCGAATCTGAGCACACGAGCCTACAACATTTCCGCCTCCATCGGAAATGCAGCCGCCGACGCCGGGATTCGATTCCGCGACCTGTGGGTCAACAGCCGAGTACCTTAGCCACTAGACCACCGTGGCGGGGCTGATTTTACCGTCTAGTATTTCGTTCTGTTAGGTTAGAAATGCTGGAAGGATGCTGTATCAGACTATTTTCAATATGGTGTGTTTGAAGCCTCCAATAATTAGTTTTTGATATAGGAGTTTGGCCCGAGCCAGATTGCCTACCTGTTAGTGCTGATTTTTGGGTCTACTGTTACTACAAATATTGCATATAATGCAGTAACTTATGATCTCCGTGACCCCGCCGCGGTGGCCTAGCGTCTAAGGTACTCGGCTGCTGACTCGCAGGTTGTGGTCTCGAACCCCGGCTGCAGCGGCTGCATTTTCGATGGAGTCGAAAATCTGTAGGCCCGTGTGCTCAGATTTGAGTGCACGTTAAAGAACTCCAGGTGGTCGAAATCTCCGCAGCCCTGCACTACGGCGTCTCTCATAACCACATGGTAGTTTCGAAACGTTAAACCCCACACATCAATCAATATGATCCCTGTGGTACTTCGCGAAGCTTGGCTCGACCACAATTTGCGGGTTCTTTTGCCATCTGACCAGTTTCCAACAGAATTGCGAAAATCCTTCAAAATCACCAAGACACGTAGCAACGTTTACTTTGCGTGCATCTCGCTTGATGAGCGGAGTCTAACATTACGTCCACGACGAACCATGCCCTATACTTCAAGTGAGCTGAGCAAAGAAAGAATCAGGAATGAAGTCTTCGCTGATTGGTTGCACGTATACCTTGAAGACACATGCTCCGTGTGAGGCTCAGTAGATTTAGCCCCAGCCTGGAGGCAAAAGCTTGCGATGAACCGGGTGCCAGAGACATGATCAGGCCGAGTACAAGAAGGCTGACGCCCAGCGCAATCCAGACCTGCAGACACGAAGGAAATGGAGGTCTCGTGCACGTAATAAAAGCGTCCGTGTTGAAGCTTGCTCAATTCAAGATAGATCGGTTAGAAAGCATTCTTAGTGCGTACAATATTAGGACGACAAAATTTGGCGAGCCGGTAACCGTTAATTTTCATGTAAAACACGAATGTACCAGGACGAACTAAAGAAGAGCGCGTAATATCACAGGACACTCAAAAAGAGAACGCATTCAGGTGTGCGCAGGATTCACTTCAGGGGAGGGGGATTTGTCGCAGCGCCCCCCCCCCACCCCTCCTAAATAACTAGGGGAAGGGGAGGCGGTTCCCCTTACTTCCTCTTCGTGCCTATGAACATACACAGAGTTTTTGCTGTGTTCGTTCCTTGTCTGCGGTCTGTTTTTTTTTAATTGTGTTTAGCCAATAAGCCCGACATTCCGCAGTCAAAAAAAATAAAAAATGAGTGCCTACTGGCAATCAAAACATGTACTGAAAAAGTAATGACCTATGTGTAACGATATCATAACCGTGCAGTAAAAAAATAATAATATCTGAAGTTTTACGTCCCAAGACCAAGATATTTGATAACGAGTGTCGCCGCAGTGGAGAGCTCCGGAAATATCCCCCATCCGGCATACGTTCTTTAACGAGCCCCGCTTCTTTTGTTGTTGTTTTTTTTATCTTGTACGGCGCTGTTATTACTATATCAATGGATTCATCACCTATATATTGTCACGTGGTCATGACAGCTAAGAAGAGACCGTCGGGATGTGGAACACGAAACTGTTTATTCGGTGAACTTGTGCCCAGGAAATGAAAAGTGAAATTTCGAGCAATACACGCGGTACTATCGTGAGCGATATAAGCTCGAACACGCGAGAAGGAGGCAAAGAGAGCCTCAAACCCGGCTTCCCTAACGTTGCTGCGAAACGGCAGCTGATTGCGTGCCATCGGTTGGTAGCAATCGTAACATGAAAAAAGATGCACGAAAAACAGAATAATGAAAGAAGCGTACACCTAACGCTCAGCCACTACCACTTAGATATAATACGAGCAGTACATGTGCACCACGCCAGGTACGTCACAGCTGATATCTCAGCAGCTACATTGGATGATGATTCATTGGGTGTGGTTAGGCGCTTTGATGTAAATTCATATCAGCGCGAGTATCCATTGACACGCCAAAAGCTGCCATTTTTCAGCAATGATATCGATGTGGGAGTGTCAACAGTTAACGGAAGCGAACCACCCTTTCCTCTTTGTTTTCAACAGCGGCTGCTGCGAATCAGCCAAAGTAGGGTTCGAGACTAATCACCACGCGATCGCGTGTTCCAGCTCATATGCCAACTTATTCGAGCTAGAACACGTGTTCTAGCTCAATACTTTGCGTGAGTAACTATAATTCGGTAATAAATGCAGCGCTCACAAAGCAGGCAAAATCGAATTAATTCGCGAAGGCAGCGGCGGCGGTAGCATCCCCCAGGGGCAGAAGATATGTGAACATTTTCGACGTGCGCTGTCGTGGTTTTCCGGCTACCCTGGCGTTTTCGTTTTCGCCCCACTTCTCACGTGTGAATGGGACCTTTCTATCAGTACAGTGAAGTTAGCCCCCCCCCCCCCCCCTCTTTGTCATGCTCACCCTCACCCATCTTTGTACACTTCTCATTGGCTGTATACCTTTCCGCCGAGACCTCTTAAGCACCCTTAATTGGTTCAGCCTTTCCACCAAGCATCCTCCTCATCCATCTTGGCGCGGCGCAGCGCTCCCTCTCTTATAACCGAGCCTCACTCTAGCCACTCCGTAAGATCACGTGACCAGCGCTACGTCAACGGACGGTGAAGCATTTACCAAGAACGGTTTTGCCGTCACAAGCAGAATGCGCATATGAGCCACGCCATGTGATGCGTGTGAGCTTACGTCTGGCTCGAAGACGGTCAGAGAAGCTGCGATGCTGCTGCCCTGCGAGGTGTCGTTGCCGAACGCTCCGAGGATGACCACGTCCTCGGTCCAGATGCTGGATGTCGGCTGGGCAACCTTGTTGCGCGAGTTGGTCGGGTAGAATAGTGTGTAGGACACGTCGCTCTCCTGAACAGAAGGAGGCGTATATGGTCAGAGAATGACACTGATACCGAGTGAGCTCTTGCTGTCCTCAATGTATGTTCTGTTTCATCATAATCATCATCATCAGCCTGACTACGTCCACTGCAGGACAAAGGCCTCTCCCATGTTCCGCCAGTTAACCCGGTCCTGTGCTTGCTGCTGCCAATTTATACCCGCAAACTTCTTAATCTCATCTGCCCACCTAACCTTCTGTCCCCCCCTAACCCGCTTCCCTTCTCTGGGAATCCAATTAGTTACCCTTAATATGTTCTGTTTACTGAGGTGCACGTGAATCGCATCGCTTGATCCGTGTAAGAGCTAAGCCTGTGTCCATCACTGCCGAATCCGAGTTTTGGTGCGTGTGTGTGTCAAATGCAAGTGCCGCAGGATTTAATTGATCGGTGCAGTCGCTGCATGTCTGCTGCCTCAGGTATTCGATCATGCAAGTCTGGACCCGTACAATAGAGACGAAATTTCATAACACGCCACTGCAAGTAGAGGCGAAGGGGTATTGGTTTATTGGTTGACTGTTTGATTCATTGATTGCAAACAGTTTTATTCAGAACGAAAATTCGACTATATTCGAAGGATAGCCGATGAGGCCCGGTGGCTTTGCTCTCTGTTTTGCTCCTCTGCCGTGCTGCAGGCCCTTGCAGCTGGTCAGGGTAACCGAAGGGCCGCTTTGGGTCACGCTGCTTAAAGTGAGATGGTCCCACTACAAGATGGGGTCTATCTATACGATTCGGATAACCAACTGGTAAGACCATGTTTTTTTTCTATTCCCTTCATATGTGGAAACGTGCCACTAGCAATGAACTAGGTATAGGTGTGTGCAAGGTCCTCCTTCGTGAGGGGGGGGGGGGGGGGGCTCGCAGCGGCTCTATATCTACGACGTTCATGCATAGGGCTGACATTGCGCCCCCCTCCCAGAGTCACAGTGCCCCCCCCCCCTTTTTTAGGTGGCTGGGGAGGGGGGGGTGCCCCATGCGCACGTCTAGGAAATATTACCAAATAGTCCCAACTGGTGCCGGGCTCACAAAAACTGGTTTCATCTCATTTTGGATATGAAATTGGATATGAAATGAGTCAAATGAGAGCTATATACTGGAACCAGGTGAAGATAATCTTATCATAGCTTTGTAATTCGAAACATAGCGCAAACTTACGTTCCTCTGAAGTTCACCGATGAATCCGGTCCAAGAACCGTTCGACAGCTCGATCCCCCATTCAGGGTTGTTCAGAATGGTTGTCTTGTGTCTGCAAAGACGCACGGGTGAAAACGATATTGTGCCCACTGCGATGAACTGAGCCACTTTGGGTTTATATATATAAGAGCATCGAACGCGCTATTCGAAGGTCGTAGGTTCGATTCCTGCTCACGGCAAGTTAGTTTTTCACCCACTTTTCTTTCTTCTTATTTACAATACTTTGGTTCTAATAACTTCCCCTATACATTCCTTGGCATTATTGTCGGTTAGATCTCATTATATTGTGTCAAACCACGTAAAAACGAGCCCTTAGGATATATATATATATATATATATATATATATATATATATATATATATATATATATATATATATATATATATGTGTGTGTGTGTGTGTGTGCGCGCGCTTGCCCCACCATGGTGCTCTAGTGGCTAAGGTACTGACCCGTAGGTCGCGGGATTGAATCCCGGCTGCGGCGGCTGCATTTTCGGAGGAGGTGAAAATCCAGCCGCCGATTTAACGCTGAAGGGGCCCAAGCCCCCCAGTTACCCCTGCCCCCTTTACTCTTTACCTATGCATTGCTTAATTCTGAGAGAGAGAAAAAAAAACAGCACGTCACTGAGAGGCTTGTCATTTTCTATTTATGATTGTCCTGCGAAGCTTCCTCGAAGCGTTACACATGTAATCACTTATCATTAATTCGATTATCTCAGCTTTCTGCCATTGATTCATTACTTCATTCGCTGAAAAAAAGAAATAATCTTGCAGTTTTTTTTTTACTCACCGGATTCCAAATCTCTCTGCTGTGTCCCACAGTAGTTGGAGGAGTCCCGAAGCGAACGTGATGTGGTGAAGGCTTCCATTGGGATAGAACTGTCCGTGGGGAGCGTGCTGACGGACGCGTTACAACAATAAACAAGTGTCGTAGAAGTGGTCGCTATCGACTATTAATTATCCTAACCGACGCAACACATTACGCACTGACAGTAGTTGGAGGAGTCCCGAAGCGAACGTGATGTGGTGAAGGCTTCCATTGGGATAGAACTGTCCGTGGGGAGCGTGCTGACGGACGCGTTACAACAATAAACAAGTGTCGTAGAAGTGGTCGCTATCGACTATTAATTATCCTAACCGACGCAACACATTACGCACTGCAGAATCCTAGAAAGCTGGTCCGGTCGTTACGAATCTATTGTAAGTACAGCTCAACAACCGAGACGCAAACCCACTAAAGGTGAGGAGCCAAACAAGTGCCGATTTTTCAATCGAGATTTTAATTGGAACGAAATAAAGCACACACACACAGAGACTTGGTCTAATATGTGCACAGCGTAGTGAAAAGAAAGGAACACCTTTGCACTCGGCACTGACGTCATGTATCCCATTGCACAACACTCGAATGATTTACTACTGTAACTATTCTTTCCAAACAACAATACTTGTCACGTATATAGGAGGGCACCTTTGAATGGCCAATTTCTCGCAGCAAGCCCCAGCGCAAGACTAATCCGGTATTCGGTCATTCCAGCGACGCAGGTGGTGCCTTGTAGCCGTGCTGCGAAGCTGTGACACGGTGACGAAACAGCGACGCAGTTCGGTCTCTCAGTATTCATAGACCAATGAACGCGTCTTCACGCTCACATCACCATCTCGTCCACCATTTCGACCTTCCGCTGCGCCGCCTACAGTCGCTGGAAGGGTCGAATACGCTATATGTCCACTGAATCCACAAGTGGAACTGCACGTCGCGAAACACGCTATATAGCCTAAAAGCCCTAATTGCTGGGCTAGTTTGTTGTGTATAACTGGCTGAGACATACCAGCGCAAAATGACAACTGACGAACACAAGAAGAAGCGCCCTGTTCTTGCCTTCTTTCTTGTGGTAGTCGGTTTTATTTTGCGCTACTATATGTCTCAGCCTGTTATGCACTATAAACGATGTCTGATAGACAAGGCCGATGTTTCCCATAGACAAGGTCCATAGACCTTACAGGGGTTGTTTAGAATTTCGATAGTAAGAAAATTTCTAAGCTTACGTTCATTGAGGTTATGCGCAGCACGGTGCCTGAGAAGTTCGGCATTGTAATTACTATGCTGATTCAACAGTCTACTTGAATATAGCTTTTTTTACGCAGTAAGAATCCCTATTCCATATATGCGTAACTCTTTTCGAGATGATCGAGCCAACCGTAAGCGTCAGCCAAAACCCTAAACTCAGCTCGCCTGTAATGCGGTCGTTAAAGCGGCTTCGAAGAGACAAGCCAGCTACCTGATTGGTCGGTACTGCGCCCGTGATGAAGTGAGTCGGCTACGGGATTGGTGGGCACTTCGCACGTGAACACGCGCGTCATTCAGCGGTAATCGAGGAGAGTGACGGTATCATTTGTTAGCCGACATCCGTTTAGGAACTGCTGACAAATTGTGACCTACAGTGCTGATTCGCGAGTCACCGAGGCAAGCATTAGGCAAATGAATTCGTAGATGCGTGGGTATCGGGATATTAATTGCTTGGGATTAGGGTTATCGACTGCACGAATCACAAAACGGGTCATGCTGACCATTGTCCACACAGAGATTTCAAGGGACGTTAAAGAGGAGAGCCGATTTTTCTTGTATTGGCAAATTACTCTTTCACGGCACTAAAACCACCTAGCTTGCTGCGAGAAGACGCTTGGTAAGAGAAAGAACGTGCAAAAAAAAGGAGGGAGGAAGGTGGCGACGTCACTTTGAAGTTTGTGCACCGGTCCCTATGACGTCATTGGCTTTGGAAGTGCCGTTTAGGGCCTACGAGGTTATTTATCGATAAAGATGAAGTGCACCGTCTACTGAGAGAGCCAGTGACTTAACATACTAAGTATAACAAAATTTACTTAAGCCAATCCAGGAAAAAATATAATAAAACGCTGAAACTTGTGACGTCACCATCACAAATATTGGTGTTTGTTCTCATTCGATTAAACACCGCTTTGAGAACGTTTCTTCTCAGTAAATTGAAGCGGTGGCGCGATAAGAAGTAATGCTATAGATTGTTTCGTTGATGTTGCAAAATGATCAAGGAGCGAAAGGAGCCGGACCAGCTCTGCAGTGCGTGTAATAGTGTAATCTTAGAAAGCAACAGAGTAATGTTATAAAAATAACCTACTCCTTTCGTATTGAACAGGAATTTAGTGTGGAGTATGCCCCCCCCCCCACATTTTCTTTTTTTGTGCCTTTTCCTCGCTTCCATCCTGCCACTGCCACGACAAGGGATATATATATATATATATATATATATATATATATATATATATATATATATATATATATATATATATATATATATATATATATATATATATATATATATATTGTAGTGAAGAAGATGAGTGCTACTCAGAAAGGCAGGGGGTACGACTCAGTCGGTGAAGAAGACGACGTTTGGTTGGCTGGGGACTCGGGCTCGTTCCGCCATTACCACTTGACGTGTCGTGACCGCTCTCCTGTTTTATAAAAGAGTGCCATTCTGAAACGCCTCATTATAATATATATATATATATATATATATATATATATATATATATATATATATATATATATATATATATATAATTGGCGGTTGCATTTCGATGCTATACATGCGATGTTAGTGCACGTTAAAGAACACCAGATAGTGTACAATGTTCAAAATTTTCGTAACTTTCCACTGTGGTGTGCTACATGATTATTACGTGGATCGCGGTTTAGGCACGCAAAAGCCTTGGCATTATATTATTATTAGCGGCGATGGTTTTGTAATTGTCAGAGAGAGTTATTATTATGCGATGAAATATTTTTTTTATCTTGGGTCTCTCTTTAAGATCACCCCGTGATACACCACCCGAGCCTTTTTTTTTTTTTTTTTTGTCCTGTATAGGATCCGAAGGATGTGCGTTAAAGGCCTGACCACATGTACACATTGGAGCGCGTGGCTTTTTTTTTAACGCGGTGCCACGCCCTCTCGCTATGGAGAGAGAGGGCGCGCAACTTCCCGTACCTGCGCCTCCTCTCTCTCCACACGAGGCGCAGATGAGACGCGCTCTATCTCCATATAGAGAGAGCGCGTCGCCGCGACAGACACCCACACTGACACACACACACACACACACACACACACACACACACACACACACACACACACACACACACACACACACACACACACACGCACGTACACAACGCGCGGCAACGGGTACATGTGGTTAAGCCTAACATTATATAGCTGTTCTGTGGCCTAACTCACAAACGCACAAGCCTAAAGCCCCTTGAAAGGGGGCTTTACACAAGCCCGCACCTCAGCACCCCCACCCACCCCTTCCGACATACGCGCGCGTACGTGCGCACAAGTGAATTCGTACACGTGCGCGAATAGACTCACGGCGTTCCTGTTCGCTGTTAGCGGCTGTGCAAGGTACGCAATACATCTCCCGCAATGGCTGCGCTATGCAAATAGCGAGCGCATGATTGGACGGCCAAAGCTCCACGAGTCACCGAATACATGCATGCAAAATGTCGCCACTACGTCACGCAACTCAACGCACAGATCAGTCAACACACAATCAATCGCAGTAGTTTCCTATTCGCCAGCGTGCATTTCTATTTTATTCGGACATACCGTATAAACCTGGAAGGCATTGCATGTATCAAAACGCCTTCGCGCGTACATTGCGTGTACCGAGTAGAAGGTTGCTCTAAACGCAGCTGGACCCATTAATCACACTGTACACAGTGGCTGGGGCTAATCCATAAATTCGATTTTTGGGGTGGCAGGGTTTTGGTGAATGGGTGGCTGCATGCAGGATTGGAGGGAAGGGGCTGGCTGGTGGACAAGGGGGGATGGGGGCATGTATAAATCTCTGCATAGCAGCCATTAACTCTGTACATGTGTGCAGGCATAGGCAACTTATCAATGCTTATGAAATCAAACATGCGTGGCAACTAACTGCCTTTGGTTGCTATAGCGAACATTTAAGGTTGTATAAATTTGGTTTTTATAAGGCAATCGTTCTTGTGATACTGCCCCGATTCCTTAAGAATAGTGCTCAAGAGTGTAACAATCACTTCTTTCAAAGAGACATCATAAATAAGTGCACAAGAAAGCCTAAAATAAAAGTGGGCGAATGATTGCCAATTGGAATTTTATTGACGGCATAGATACAGAGATTAGAAAAAACAAATCTGCCGCATCAAATCAGTACAAAGAAGTAAGAATCTTGTGCGAGAGAATCCTTTAAAGGATAGACAGAATGACAATTTACATTGTCCATTATGACGTAGTCACATTGAGTACTAAACAAAAATTATGACGAAACTAAACAGAAGGCTGCATCCTGATACAATTAGGACTCGCAGCATGTTCTGGAATCAGTGGTCATAAAACCAAGTCGATTGTAATTTCGGATATTTTAGTGAATTGGAAATTAGGAACATCTTTCGTACCGGCAGTATTGTTCACCGTGAGCTTTCGAGACGATTATGTAGCAAGACACTTGGCGTACGCTGCCCAGGAAGTCAAACAAAATGATGAGAAAATTACACAACATAATAATGCAATGAAGTTAAACGTAACCACCAAATGCTGTACACGCACAGATGTTCACAGAACCATTACATAACATCAACACAGAGCTTAATAAACGGCTATAACGGCATGTGAGGCTTCTTCACAAATATCACACGTGAGTGCTACTTCAGCAGTAAGAACGCTAAACAGATGGATTCAGAAGACAACAGTGAATCGTAACAAATCAATAAATAGGTTGCATGTGAACAGAGAGTTCTCAATGCCCAAAGTACATGCTTAGAAAAGACTCACTATTGGGTGCATAAATAACAAAAAGGCCAACAGGCCAACAGCAGGCACAGTAAATCAAAAACTGTTGAAATTATCCCGGTACATTGGGTGAAGAAAACAAACATGCCAGCATGTGATAATAGTGACAGACGAGCAAAAAAAGAAAAAGGACAGCTGGACTTGACAGCTACTTTTAGCAACTGCCTACGCCACACAAGAGACAGAATAACATTGTGCCGATCACGAATACATTACCACCACCTATTTCTACATGACCCAGAAAGTCAATCACACGTTCAGTCGCTATTAGCCTGAGATCATTCCTTTTGAAGGAATGAGGTCAGCCACGTATGTGAAGAGGTGTGAAAAGCGTCGCAATGACCGAGAATGTAGGGGATGCTATACCATGGATGTGATATCCATTGGTCACTTGCGACAAACAAGACAAGACACTTGAAAGAGCCCTCGATATCACAAGTGAAACTGCCATCCCACAAATCGTACGCATCAGACCTGTTACCGGTAAAAAGTGATTGACGCGCATCTAATAAACATGAAATGTGACATGAGCTACAACGTATAACCGAGACGGAAAAGAAGCATCCTTTTCTTGACGCCAGTTAGAAAATTAAAAACGCATTCGGACTTGCAAGTTGCGGTCACCGATCAGGGTTGGTCGCCATTGGCCATTTAGGTTTGGAAAGCAACTTCACTGGCTCTCTAGCTTGTGAGCGACTACGTGATGCTTCCACTTTGCCATTGAATTCATTGAGCTAATGAACTAATCACTGATGCATGAACGGTGCAGTGCTGTACACTTGCAATGCTCGTTTTCTGTGGTGGCAGCACTGCACTATCTTAATTACGAGATAATCCCACGTGAGAAACGCACAAGTCATGGTTGCGTGCAGTTGTGGTCAGCCAGTTAGTGAACCAGTGCAGCCTTCATCAACTCGTTGTGTGAATGAACCGTCCTATCATGAGCCAGTACCAACTGGTACCATGCATCAGCATGCCCTTTCCCTTTCAACCAAAGAATAATTTGGTTTCACAAGCCCTAAAAATCAGCGTTGCACTAATTCGCCATTCCTTGGTCTCCAGTTGTGGTTGGTCATGCAATATCTGTAATTCCCTAGTGTGAATGAGCCTTAAGATGTCCAACCATGTGTGTATACAAACCTACCCCTTCAAAGCAAAAGGAACACTGGTTTCAATAGTTACACAAGTCAATGTTACGTAGACAAATAGGCTCCACTTTTGCAAGTTAAACTTACAAAACAATTACAGAGCGCAGAACGAAAAAAGACAATGTTGGAAATGATCACAATAAAGTGCGCCATCGTAGCAGGCGCTGCAACCGGGATGCATCGCTGTGATGGACTCGGGCAAGTGTGGCCAGGAGCGTAGCGTTAGATGTACAGCCGGGTCTTGCTGAAAACCACGAGCGGGAGATTCTGCCGAAGGCCTTCTTGATGCTGAACCTGCATTGAGAAACAGCAGAGGACACCTCGTCATCCCAATGATTCGGTTTACCCAAGTGGGCTCGCGTAAAAGAAAAAATTTGAGCCAGTTCTGAGTCGTAAAAGTCATCAGACAGCAAAGCTGTCTCCCCTTTTGTAGTGAACCGTAAAATGGCGACCAAGCACCCCCAGTTCTGAGTCATGGAAGTCGTCAGACAGCAAAGCTGTCTCCCTTTTCGTCATAAATTGTAAAATTCTGACCAAGCACCCGCTCCCCCTCTTACAGCTGAAGGTCATTGGCGCTTACAACCGTATTTACTCGAATCTATGCTGACCCCGGTCCTAAGCCGACTCCCTAAAGCCTAAAGCTCGGAAAAATAAAAAAACTTTACCTAGAATGTAGGCCAAACAAAACAGTGAAGACAGTATTCACAAAGGGGAAATATTTATTAAACATTAATATGAAACGAAGCAGTTAGTTCCTGTTGCAAATACCTTGAAAAACATACAGCCTCTAGTCCTGTTGTTTTATTTATTTTATTTATTTATTACAATACTGGAGGTCTGATCTTCAGACCTTAGGCAGGATGGGTACAAGTGAATACAAAAAAAAAAGTTACAATAAACACATATGAAGCATTGCGGCGATAATAACAACAAAAGAAGAACAGTACAATGAATTCATACAAGCAAAGCAGCAAGATATTTAAATAACCAGTGAAAACACGAATACGTAAACAGTGTTTCTTTGGCGTAGTTTTTTTTTTCGCACTGCTCCTAGGCCGATGCCGCGCTCATTCTGAGCCGTCGTCGCTGCTTCTATCATCGCTGACTTCTTTGTCGCTGTCTTCAAACAGCACACAATCCTCGATGCCATCAAGCGCACTGAATATGCCGCACTTATTAGAAGAGCGCACAATCAAAATTTCAGGGTTGTCCCATGCTGCAGCCCCTTCAGTAGCGCACATTTTTTTCATCTGCTCCAAAGTCTTGCCTGGCTTGAATGTTAGATTATGACTCTGCGGCTAGGACAACTTTCCTTTTAGAAGCAGCACCCCCTGTTTGGCACCATTGAGCTGCGCTACACACAAACCAGTCGAAGCGCAACTTGAAATAACAAATGGCTCACCTCAACACTCGCCACAAAAATCAAAATGGGGGCCAGGTGATGACTTGGTTAATAAGGGCTATAATTCTGTCTAGGTAGTGCTAGTTGTGCACCACTTTTCTTCATGAAACATGGTGTGCTTTTCAGAATCCTTTAATCTAAGCTGACCCTAAAGTTTGATGAAAAAAAAAATAATAATAAAAAAACTATCAGCCTAGATTCGATTAAATACGGCTTGAAACTAGGCCGATAGTTTGCTTTTATTTTAGTGCATTGAACTTCAGGGTCAGCTTAAATAAGAGGATTTTGAAAAATGCGCCACTTTTCATTGAGAAAAATGGTGCACAACACATAGACGGCATTGTAGCCGAGCCAACACATGGCTTAAGTATACATGTGAGGCCGCCATTTTGATCTTTGTGTCAAGTGTTGAGGCGAGCCGTTTGTCATTTTGAGTCACGCTTCGAGTGGTCTGTGCGTGGCATAGCTAAATAGCGCAAAACAGGCAGTGACCTTATTGTGCTGCTTATAAAAGGAAAGTCATCCTAGCCGCGCAGTCATCGTCCAATGTCCAAGCCCGGTGGGACTTTGAAGTGGACGAAAAATATGTGTCACTGGAGGAAGTGCAGTACGGGGCGACATCCCTGGAACTTTGTGTTTCTCTTTTAAGAACTGCGGCATATCTAATGCACTTGATGGCCCCAAGGATTGCGCACTGTTTGAAAGACTGCGCCGAAAAAGTCAGCAACGACGACTAGAAATGAGCGCGACATCGGCAAGCGCGGTATTTTTATGATGCTAATAACTAGAAGCAGTGCAGGAAAAAAAAAACTACAAAGAAGCACGCACAGCAGGACTGGTGACTGTATGTTTCTCAAGTTATTTGCATCATGAACCAACTGCTTTGTTTCATCTTCATGTTCAATTAATGCTTTCTCTTTGTGAACGCTGTCTTTGCTCTTTCATTCGGCCTACATTTAAATAAGTTTTTTTTTCTTTTCCCGGGCTTCAGACTTTTGCGGTCAGTTTAGAATCGGGGTCGGCCTCAATGCGAGTAAATACGGTATTTCAGGTCTCCGGACAAAGGCAGGGGAGCGCTTGGTCGGTATTTGAAAGTATTAGTTTTGCCCCTAAGTTTATAGCACAGATTTTCCCAAGAATTCATTTTTTTGTTTCTTTGGTCTTCAGGTTTAGCAATGCAAAATCCGCGTTGCAGTCACGACCACGCTGGAACAATACGATAGCATTTTAGTGCAGCCGTGGCCCATTCTATGGGGCCACTCACCCAAAACGTGTATTAATATGACGGCTGCACATTCGTGCAGGAAGCGTCACCATCATCATCACTGCAATCATCTTGCTTTATTTATTGGTTTAACCTCACCGCCTTTGGTCATGTGACATGTGTGAAGCCCACTATAAACGCAGCAAAATCCCAAGCCAGCGCCCTCCACTCTTTTTCAGGAGAATTGAAATAGAGTCTACTCTCGTTACAATGCACTGTGATAACCCGGCAAAACGAGTCCGTTTTGCCCGAAGTCTGTAATATCCAAACTCCGTGCGAGAGCAGTTGCATCGTCGCGGGACGATCACTTCGATTTCACCCAGCAATAGAGGGCAGGCTAGTTCCGCTCATACATGCTGAACATATTCGACAGCATGGCTACAAAAGACTTCAATCACCACCAGCGGTCATATTCATATTGGGGTGCAAGTTATAATTAATAAGTGAGTGTCATTTGATTAGGTGCACGGATGCTATGGCTTGACAAAGCACCAAACAATAGCCCAATAATGAAGCATTTCTAGCAGGCTTTTTCCACCACCTATATTATAATCTTTGTATAATTTCTTTATTTGTGCACATGGGAAAGCACATCTGTTTAAAAGGGGTCACCTATTAGCCAGTGGGAGCTGTTGCTCTAGCGCAGCCCCCATGACTCACTGGACGATCCAAAGTCGGTCTGAGAGCTCTGAACTGAGCAGCACCACGGCACCTCTCACAATAATATACTAATTTAACAGTAAAACTCACCAGCTTGGAGCACGAGAACGTCTTACTTTCAAAACTTTGGTTGTGATGCCTAGCAACATAACTGCGATGAGTGACGAACGTCTAACACAAAGCACAATTAAAATTTTTTTATTTACACTTAGCTTGAGAAGAAACTTGTGATAAGAGATGGGTGGGCACCCTATAGTGGTGATGCAATCACATTGAGCAACATTTCAGCCAGCTGCAACACCTGAACCATTGACGCTATAAACGTGCTCTCAGACAGTCTTGGCTTGGCAGGAAGCCATCAGCGTTGCCAGCCCCACTTTAAAATTACCACGCCATTAGTACTGTGCAGGGCGGTGTGGTCGAATTTGTTGTCAGTTCGTGTCAGCATGGCAAAAGTATGTTTTATGCGTCGAATTAAAAAAAAAATGTATATGATTTTCTCCATTGTACCAGCCTGTTAAAAGCAAACTTCACTCCATTATTTTAATAGACAGACATAACTTGCCCTGTATAATGGTGGTCTGTTGTACCTTAAAGTCTGTTGTACGTGGGTCCATTATAATGAACGTAAACTGTATGCGTCAATGACCAAGCAAGCACCCCCTTCTTTTTTTCCTGACATTTTCACTCCGTCACTCACTCTCTTTATTTGCCCTACGACGACAAACAAAACTAAAGAATGCATGCACATTAAATAAAGCATTTCATTACAAACATAGCTGTTCATTTACTATTTTTAGCAACATTTTCACTGCCATGTTGAATTTTGATCCGTGACAGCTCAAGGGCGCCCTCCAAATCTTGTCGATGTATCTTTCATCTTGGCTTTTTTGGGATTTTATGGTCGTACAACTACAAATACATTTGCTACTACTACTACTACTAGTACTACTAATACTACTATGAAAATGATGGCCCTAGGTTACCTTTTCAGGATGAGCGAAAAAATGTGGCAATTAAAAAAAATAAGTTAGGTCGCTTAGTCTCACGGAATAGACATACGCACACACTGTTCGGAAACAGCTTCTTTGTTGCACTTCACTCATCTTCGGTGATTGAAGGCGCTATCTTCTGCAAGCTGTCCGTGTGCCGCCCGCGCACTCCATGAAAGCATTTTGCGGCTTTCTTTTCTCGCAATCGTTTAACTGCAACAGTGGTGTCAGCTGTAATCTCGAGGGGCGCCCAAAAGCGTGTGGTACGACACACTTTGCCAACTTCGTGGCACCCTCGCACGACAACGGCGTTGACATTGCACCAAGATACCACTGAAGCATCGAAAACAAACCACTGATAACAAACTTAACGACGAAATACGGCTGCCACCTCTGTACACATGAGAAGTTACTAGTACGTGCTGATAACAAGCACGGAGAGCAAACTGCAACTGAAGCGAGAATCAGGGGTGCTACCATGACGCGGAAATCGTCAAAGTCTTTTTTGAATGATAAACGAATTTTTCTGGCTTTCTAGAAACCTGCAATGCGATGGCGACGCCCTTCGCAACAGGAAATCCTGTTGTTGTTACTCGAAAATCGCGTGCATGTGTTTGGGTAAGGTTTCGGATTTGCAGGAAGCGACCATACGGTTGGCACGAACAGTTTACTGACCTTCGCTCGCTGTGTGCTTGTCAGCTGCGATGTCTTTACACTCGGCCTTTAATGAACCCCACTGTTGCACACAAATAATTAAAAAAAGACAAGGACCGTGCCACGCACAGATAGAAAAAAAAAATTTGGCGCGCACCAGCGGGCAAAAGGGAGGAGGGTGCAAGCTAATTGGTAGCCAAGGGGGTTCAGAAGAGATCCAACACGCAAGGAGGCATCAGTTGTCGGTTAGCCGGATTGCGGCAGACCGTGGCAGCGGGTGAATGTAGAGGGTGCGTCTATTATGCGAGTGTGTTCAATACGTAAGTAAATACAATATTACGTATTCTCTGTAAAAGAACTCCAAACGTGTAAAGCTTACCAAGTCAAACCAACGACAGAGATGGCCGTACTTCTCTTTGTCCTTGAATGTCAGTGAAGACTGAAAGAGGAAGCAGAAATCGAGTGGCAACAAATGAAAAGCAGCAAACACTGCATTCAGAAACACGAAGAAGATAGTTTGTAGCAGGCATAACAGAACAACACCCTAAGTTATTTTCAGAGGAGTACTGGTGCATACATTCAGGTTTGTAGAAGCTCTACAATATGCCTTTAATATATATCAAGATGGCACTCAGAATGCACAAGGTTTGTATGCATGAGCTTGTGTAAAATTTTGGTAAAGTTGGTCCTCAAACCTAATAATGTCCGAGGCTTTACGCGCAAAAACTGCGAAGTGATTGTGAGGCACGACGTAGTGGAGGGCTGCATAAATTTCGACTTCAAAGTGTTCTTTAACGTGCATTGACATTGCACAGCGCATGGGCCTCTGTCAATCTGCCTTGAACGTAATGAGGCCGCGGCTGCCATCATCGAAACCATGACCTCCAGGTCGGCAGCTGAGCCCATTAGTCGCTGATCCACAACAATGGATGGTCTCAAACGAGAGGTAACTGCCAATGACCTGATGGTGTAATCATGGCACGCTGCAACTTTTTCAATTTGGGCATCAAAAGGAAACGTCATGATTAACCGAGAAAAACTCAATGGTACAATTCAATGAATGCATTGCATGCTAATGAGGACGAAGACCTTTTCCTATGAAATAAAAGTAAGCATAGGCGTGAGCTTCCAAGAAATTTCATCCACGGCACCAATGTTAGTTACAGGCGATATTGCCATGTTTCTTGGTTAAGCGTGTGGTGCCAGCAATACCAAATGTGCTTTACGAGAATGCAAATATTAAACATCAAACTGCAGAGGGCTTACAACAGTGGGATGGAGGCTGTAGTAGAGGAAAACATCAGCCAGGGTGAGTGAAATGCCCACGAAGAAACACCGGTCTGCTAGGTAGCTGTCGATCTCCTGAAAAGTTCAAGCAATGTCAAATGTTGAGCTCATTAGGTGGGAAACCCCCAAACTCAGAGCAATCACTAACAAGAAATAAATAGCATTCTCTCACCCTATTTTCATGGGAAATAACTACATAGTGACACCCAAGCTTGACATAACACATTTTTTAGTGTATAACCCACACAGTACATATACAGAAAATTGAAATCTGAAGTATTATTGGTGCAGGTTATAGGCGAGTTTCGGTGTCCATCACTGTTTCACAATAATGCACGGAAGGTGGTTTTACAGCAAGATCTGTGGACGTATCTTTCTTTTTTTCTTTTTTCAATTTATGCAGTTTGTAGTGCAGGGTACCGGATATATCCAGGGGTACATTGTACACAAAAAAATATGGCCTACGTTTCACTTTGGAGGCAAGGATCCACCAACTTTACAAAACGTCACTAGCCACATATGAGTTGTAAAAGTATAATTAACATGCACACATATCCTTCTTGATGCATTATAAAAAGTCGTAACCTTTTGCTCCTTATATTCCCTTGTTGCGCAAGTGTCCAAAATGTTATGGCCTTACCCATGCATCGCAGAACATAACCAGGCATTAAATACACACAGGCGATACAGGTGAGCTGCTTTTAGCCAATAATAAGCTCTTTTAGTGAGCCGTGAGAAGCTCATTCTGTAATAATGCTAATAGTGTTAAAACAGCTCGTTTCGCAGAAATTCCAGCATCATTGGTTCTGAGAGAAAAATCATCTTGTTCATGGCCAAAAAGTAGAGAAAGGTGCAAATGAAATAGCACAAGTTGCCAGGTCTGAGAGTGGATCAAGCCCAGACCGTCTGCGTGGCAAGCAGGTGTCCTATTACAAAGCCAAGAAATTGCTCAAAACTTCTTTGGAAAAAAAAAAACCCTATAAAGTTGAAGGAGTCTCCTCAACGAATCATATATTGCGTAGCAGAAGCACAGAATCGCGCCAGACATCGAAATACGTGAATTGAACAACGAGCGATTGTTTTAAAGGCCCACCCATTACAAAGTGCTCAGACATACCTATTCAATCGTCAGCCGCAAAACTATAAACAAATTGAACAGCTGCGTAGGTTTGGGTGCTGCCCTATGGACCCATAACGGGCCCTTCGCTGATTCGCAAAAGGAATACCTATGGTGAAGTGGGCACTTGATAACCATGTTTGCAATAGACATTCAACGATACTTCGAAATGGCTAATGTTATGCGCACTGCTGTTGGCTTCCTTGAAACACCGAGAACCGAAGCAGGCTGGCAGTTTAGAAGACGGTGCGCCAGAGTATTGGTTACGCTATCGCGAGCTGCTCGTGAGAGCAAAGCTCAAGCATCCTTTAATTTGTTTTCTCTTTTTTTTTCTGCACAGCAGCAGTGTATTACAATCTACTGTGACTTCGTGCAACTGGTAATTTGTAGCATATGCTTATATGCCATGCTCCTATAAGTATATCATGCAAGTTCCTCTGAAGCAAACTTGCAGTGTTTCTGACGGTTCTCTATTACAGATGAACTTGCATATAACGAATTGTTGTTTATATGCAACAGTCGCAGTAGCCACTTAAATATATTATTAATATACAAAATATTTTATATTTCAAATATTTACATGTATGGAACTCTTTTCTGACCCTTCTCATATTCGACATATCCAGGTTAAACTGTACGAACCCTAGCTGAGGTACGCAGAAGCAACACCTACCGCTCGCTGTTAGTTTCGCAAATCGTTCAAATGTAATGGTTTGCTTTTTTTGTATTTCTACTGCTGTAGGTTGTCCTAAGCTAGTGATCGTAATGCACCACCCAAATTAAAAAAAAAAGCACAAAGCAATAAATGTGTACAACTGCCAGGGTACTTGCACTCTGATCGATTGATATGTGAGGTTTAACGTCCCAAAACCACCATATGATTATGAGAAATGCTGTAGTGGAGGGCTCCAGAAATTACTTGCACTCTGCTGTGGTGAAGAAGTAAGGACGTAGAAAGTTTGCGTCGGTTAATCAAAGGTTTTGCCGAGTATTGAGTAACACTAAAAGTTAATGCAGAAAGGTGCGCGTTGCCATCTGTGCGAATTTAGGCTACACTAGTGATTATACATAACTTGCAGCTACCTCGTTTGTGTATCTTTCATGTGACTGAAAACTTCTGCCGCTGATGGTAATGCAGTTGAAGTTGAAATTAATAATACTACAGTAATGTTGGCAACATATAAGTACTATTTATTGATATCCACACTCGCCGACAACTTATCTTGACACTGGAGCGAAGGCTACCAAGATGGGGCCTCTACACATTCGTGTTGCTCTGCAAGTGGTACAGCAGTCTGCAGATGCTTTCAGTGTTGCTCGCTCACATCGTTAACGTGTTTAGAAAAACACACACATAAAATTATGAATGCGAGAAACATTTTGTTGGTTTAGTGCACATTATAGTGTTTATTACGAGTATATTTTCATAGGAGAACTAAACAGCACGTCTGCGGCCGCACAATGACGTCGCAAATGCCATGTTTTTCTCGAAAAAAAACAAGTCGGCTGAAAAGATGGTGCTGTTTGAGAAACAAGAAGAAAAAGGAAGCTTGCAGAGTTGACAGCAACTGTATTTTACCGACAACTTCCTGCAACTGTTTCAGTCTTATATTAAATAAAGCAGTGTTTATTTCAGCAAGGCAAATGAGACAATTATCAGTTAACTGAAATACGATGCTTTCGGCACGGTAGCAGACATGTGCTTTGGTAGTGCAGCTTCCACAGTGCTTTCAAAAAACGTTAACACCAAGTACATTTCATTCCTTTGGTTTATTAAGCCTGTTATTAACATTATTTGTAAAGCAGTTTCCTATGTTGCTTCATGTATGGCAATGTCTGTTGCTCACACCAATCTCAAACAGTTTTTATGTCACTTTTTGTTTGATCACGTGATACTATCACCTGCATAGACCTAACGATACTGCAGTGCACAATAAAAGTAGACAATGAAGCTTAGGCAGCCAGAAATTGTATGTGTGATGAGTAAAATGGCCTCTGTAGTGGTCTATAGGGCAGTCTATAGAGCTACAGAAGAGCTGTCAATGCAGAAAAAGAATCCTATTGATAACACCAGGCTAATTTGCCGATATGGTGAAATTGCGAAAATTGTAGGCATCGTGAGTTTGTAGGCGAATACGAGCGCGAAGCAAGGGGAAGTGACAAACGGCATAACGCGTAGTAGAGAGACAGCCGTACTTGTAATGTGCTGTGAGCCGTATCCGACGAGAGCACACCATTTCCGCAGTGGACGGCCACATACTCGAGCCACTGCTGGATAAGCGCTCGCTCCTGGGCATTCTTTCCTGCAAGGAAAGTGACCGTACGGCATCAGCGAAAAGTGATGCACGCACCGCAGTGACAACAAGAGATTTGCATGTTCACACTCAACATCAATTGGAGATCACAAGAAAGACAAAGAACACTAACTAACCAGAATCACCATCTGATATGGAGATTTAGCAGTATAAAAATTGAATTAATTAAACTACCTTCTGATGCAATGAGTAATGTTATAAATCATTACAAACAAGTAACTTCAAGAAAATTATTCATTACTTTCCCAACTACTTTCACTGAAATATAGGATGTTTGCTTCCCCTACAGTAGAAAAAAAATTGACAAAAAAATTAAAGAACAATAACAAAGAAAATCTTACGGGGCCAAACCTAAATTGTAGAAACGAGGACAGCTCACACAAAAAGCCTCCTACGGTAGTATTTAAACTTGAAGCCTTAAATAACATTGCTTTAACAACTTTTGTTAATGTAGTTTTCAAAAGCAATAGTAACCTAACTTCATTAGTTTTGGGCAGCTGTAGTTTATAATGCAAATTAATCACATTTTTAAAAGTTATAAAAAGTAATTAATTGTGAAGATTATTTACCTTTTAATAAATATTGTCATTTTTCTTGATTGTCTACTCTACACTGAAAGTGATGATCAGTTAAGAATGACAAGATTGCATGCTGAACAGGGGGACAACCAGTACATAAATTTCTAATGCAAATTCAAATAGCTTATACTTTTACTACACTTAACTAAGGATGCAAATGTGATGCCTGATTTTAACAGTGTAATCTCATGTCCAGCAAGTCCTTATTGGCATAAATGAATTCGAAATGTGCTCTGACACAAGGTAAGACTGAGCATTTCATGTTTCAAGAAAATTTACAATATTCCTATGCAAAGCAATCATTCAAAATTTGTGTGCAAAACTGACGTAACCAACACTGGGGTTTAAGCAAAGAATAAAGCTCACCCGGTCTCTGACTCAAATTTCTCTAGCCATTTTCATCCGGACACAGACACACGAAAATTTTCTTCAACCGGACTCACTCATACTGAAACTTGCCAAAACACTTCTCACCCAGACTCAGAAATACCCCAACGTAAGATACATTTATCAAGAGCATCCCTGCAAGAATTGGTGGGGTCGGGGGCTGTCAAGGCAGCCCCCTATGTAATTCGCACCTCTGAACAGTAACAGTTGAAATGGTGTGTGAACAACACTGCTTTTGATTAAGTGCGAGTAGACTTGACTATACACGTTACTCTAGGTAACGTTGATTATCATCAGCAGCAGCCTGACAACATCCACTGCAGGGCAAAGGCTTCTCCCATGATCTGCCAATTGACCCGGTCTTGTGCTTTCTGCTGCCATGTTATACCTGTGAACTTTTTAATCTCATCGGCCCACCTAAATTTCTGTCTCCCTTCGTGCGTTTGCCTTCTCTGGGAATCCAGTCAGTTATCCTCAATGACGAGTTGTTATCCAGCCTACGTGCACGGCCCATATCCATTTCTTCTTGACTTTTCAACTATGATATCCTTAACCTCGGTTTAAGATTGATAGTAATGCTGAAGGTGAGTAGATAGGACCATAGGTGGGCAAAAAAAAAACGGGAACTGACTGAAACTCACTCAACAAGTATGTCTTGCACTTTTGACTCACTCGAATTCTGGTTAGGCCAAACTCACTGAAGCTCACAATCAAGAAAATTTTCTTCAACCGGACTCGCCAGAATATTCTTACGTGGACTGACTCAAGACTCAGACTCATGGATTGATCCGAGTCTGAGTGAGTTCACCGACCTATGCCAGAGAGTGAAACACTTCAGCTACAATTTCGAAGTTTGAAGCTACGCTGAACTTGAGAAATCTTTGAATTTATTTGAAATCGTTAATGGATATCATGTTGCATGCATAATACCGCCAACATCTTACAAAAAGGTTTTGAGCAGCTTAAGAACATTTGTACTGAGCACAATTTTTGCAGGGTGCAACTTACTATTAAAAGACTGGGCATGCAGACACAGACACAAGAGAGCACTCAAGACAACACCCATATGCCAACTTGACTTTTCTCTTGTTTGCACGTCCAGACTTATAACAAAAAATTCTTACCAAGTAGCTCAGCTGAAGCCCACTGCCCACGCCTTGTGATTTTGTATGTGTATGAAGTACACTTATGAAAAAAAAAAAAAACTTCAACTTCAAGATAAATCTGATTTCACTAATAAGCGTTTGTTCTCTATCTAACCCTCGTGAATCTACCAGTCCGACTGCGTCTCGTTGAGCCCCCCCTTTTTTTTTACGCCATGATTACTCATCCGAGTAAACCATTGCATTGTAAGACAGCAAATAAAGGCAATGGCCCACATCCACCAACCCTCACGGACGCACAGTTTAACGCCCTCAGTTCATACTTGAAACAGGATGCAGGTGAAAACATCTTACCGAGTACGGCTCGTCCTTTTTCAGACTGCTCCGCGATGTAGCGCCCAATCGGCGCACATCCGGTTAGCTCGATCCCAGAGCCTACCTTCACCGTGGGAACCTGCACATTTTCATGGCGATTTTCAAACAAACAAACAAACAAACAAACAAACAAACAAACAAACAAACAAACAAAAGCAAATGCGCATCTAGAGCAATTTAACCGAGGCCTTTCACTGCCACTCAAGACTACGGCTCCCCTACGCCAAAGCTCCCGTCGTCGAAAACCACAGCAGTGTTAACACGTTGATAGCCGAAGCTTAATTCAACGTAGCTTTTGATAAACTACGACGTCGGAAACGCAGTGACGTTTTCCACGCAGAGCGCCTCCGTCTACGTGGAGCTAGTTTCCCTTCGGCCATGACACGAGCCAACTATCGCACACACACAAAAAAAAAAAAAAAAAGCAATGAGTGGTGACTCCGAGGTTACAGATATACGGGAAATTTGGTTCAAAGTGCCATATATGTTAACATCATCTTGATCAATGCCTCGAACGTTTAACACAGAGTCGACAGAGCATTCAAACAAGGCCGGCCGCCGATGTCGAAAGCTTCGCGTCAAGGAAACAGCCGGCATGGAAACACGTACGTCAAACACCGTTCAATACTGCGTGCGCTTAGTACAGGATAGCGTTTAGAAGCTATGGTCTGAGCATGCGGATCGGACTATCACTCACCTGCTCTTTGAACTGGATATTTAGGCTGTCCGCGGGAACGTTTAAGAAATTGAGAAAATGCTTTATGTGGGCTACCATCTTGGACACCGGCTCGCGCTGATGCTGATGCTGGCGTTGGTTCTTGCTGCTACAACAAGAGTTGCAATAAGCAAAAAAAAAGAGTTATTTATTTTTATGGGCAGTTTAGATAACTTTACTGCAAATCATTTTGCAAATAAATATTTAAATGGTAACATGTGACACTCAAGGCATCTAAAAGTTACTGTTTTAATATGTAGGTTTCAGTTTCTAATCTTAAAGGCCATGCATGTGAACTTCAAGCGCTGCTACGTCATGGTCGCCATACTTAAAAACACTTTTGTAGCCATGGCAACCGTCATTACCGCTACCGCTACTTTACAAATGGTGGCAATCGTGAAATATCTCTTGGAAAGGGCCTCCGAAGAACGCGCGTCTTCGTTGATAAATGAATTCTCTGCGCAACGCGCCGTCGTGTCATTGCCGGGCATTTCGGTGAAGTAACTGGGTGGCGCGGAAGTCGAGCACTGTCGAGATGCTCGATCCTGGTATGTGGTCTCTATTATACAAATTCCGCGACGTAGCATGTGCATGGTAGCACAATACTAAAGCAAAGAAGAGAAAATTAATATAAAGCGAGTGGCACATGCCTTCTAACACCTTTAAATTATTACTTATATCACCTAACAAATTGAACCCTTCCCTTCAAGAAGTCAATTAATTTAAAAAGCAAGGTACCGTCCCATTCGTGGCCTATCCCCCTAGGTGGGTTGCGCCAAGTTGTTGAGGAACCAACCAACCCTACCGCACATAGGTAAAGTTAACCGTCTACCTCTTGTGCTGCGTTCTACGCCGCATAGTTTATTTATACTTCATCTATGGTTGAACAATCGTCGCCCATGGAGCCCCCGCTGTGCCAATGCTGATAGACTGAAACTGCTTTGAGGCAACTGCTTGACCAATGCACTGATATGACATGATCGCTTGATTGTTGCTCCAGTAAACTATCACTTGAGTAAAGTTCAAGGGACCCAATTAGTGGAAAGTTTCGCTTAAGTAAGTATTCACAGAACAGCTGACTCAAAATTCTAAAATGCATTTTTCTTTTTACTAGAGCTGTCCTGAGAATTTTCGTGCTCTGTCTCTGACATGACTTGTTGCTGTGAGGCAAGTCTCGCAACATTATAATATATCCCACAGCCTTGGCTAGAGATACGGAATTAGAACCTGCCTCAGCCATTACAACTTCGTCAGCGTGGTGCCCGTCGCCTATGCCAGTGCTGCAGAGCGTCAAACGTCATCGAATCCATTTCAAAATCGAGCCCTGGTCCAGGTATTCAGTTCGTTCAACTGAATCAGCCACTATTCAGAAATTCGTCTAACCGAAATATTTTTGCGTGTAATGCTCAGGAAAACCACCAGGAATTTACCAAAAGTTTGCTATTCTGAAATATTCCTTGAAACGACGTTCGTACAAGTGAGAGTTCACTGTATTTGCATTCTGATAACTGTTGTGTGGTATTCATGCAGACTTCACTTTTCTGAGCAAGTGATCTTAGTGACCGCCTTTGCCTTTTTTTAAATTCCTTTTTTTATTTTCACTTTCAGTCCAAATACTGTGGCTAGTGGCGGTGGCCGTCCTATGGGGCTTCTCAGCTCCACTCATACGTCGAGGAGGCAAAGGCGTGGAGGACATCAAACGTGAAGGAGCACTCAGTCAGTGGCTAGCAGAAGTGAAGTTTCTCGCCACTAGGCCTCAGGTATAGGTCTCCATTGCTTGCTTGATGTCTGAGCTAGTGCACACAGGAAAGAGCAAATTTATGGGACTGTCACATCTCCTTAGATGAGACTACCAGAGCTTGGCTGTAAAGTGGAGTGAATATTTTAACAGAAGAGAATTCAGAGTAACAAACAGACAAGTGATGTAAAATATAATGGGATAATTTGTAATCGGTTATGATAACTGTGCCAGCTGGCAAAAAAAAAGTTCCACGCACGCCGTCATGACTATGGGCTGCGTGGCGGGAGGACGACTGCCGCTGTAGCTCTATAAGGGGTATGCACCGAGCCATGATCCGCAAGGGGGCATCACCATTGCCGCGTCATTTTGAAAGTCTATTCGTATGCGTGTCCAGCTGCCCATGCATCGGCATGCAGGAGGTATTCAAGGGGTCACTATACATGCAAGTTGCTGTACGTATCTCAGACAAAGCACGTGCAGCGAGTTTTTCACGGGTCTGGTGAGCGCGTGGACCGCCAAAATGGCGACCCCGACGTCAGCGACCCTTGCGGATGACGTCAAGTGCATACCCCTTATACATAGTTTGCATTGACGTCACCGTGGCCGTCATCTCGGAGCACCCAGCTGGTTTAGATACTGTGAGAGCTCTTACTCGATGAAGCTTAAATTAGTGCCATTGCCCCTCCAGCTCCTCACTGTTCCCCCTTGGCACGGTTAGCGAACGAAAGAGAGCGGGGAGAGCTCCAAAAGAACCCAGGGACGGAATGACTCGTGGTCCTACTCTGCACTGCCACTCTCTAATGAGATAAAAAGTCACAGTTGTTGCCATCTTGGGGCGCCCAGCACAGAGAACCTGTTTGTGAGTCGCATGAAAACCATGTGTCGTTAGGGCGTCGGATGCGTCATCCTAAGGTCGTAGGATCTGTCCCTGCCAGTGGCAGGTTGTCTTTTCACCCATTTTAATTTTTTTACATTTGTACAACAATCATTTCATTACAGCTAGAGGCTACACAAAATGAGCGCTATACTTTTCTTGACTTTATTGTCTATTGGTTTTATGAGATTGTACATTAGAAAGAAAATGAGTCCTTGATATTCCTGCCTTTGTTCATTCATGGAACACAGATGTATATATATATGCTGTTGCCTAAACGCTATTATTTTAGCATTATCTGATAATCACAACGATTTGAAAAGTCAATTATTATTTAGTGCCGACAGATCGATGCGCACACATGCACTGCAGGATGAATGGTTGATCAAATTTGGGAAAGGTAGCACCAGGTTTAAGGAAGGGGGGGGGGGGGGGGGCTGTTGCCAGGCCAAACATATGAAAAGTAGCAAAAAAAGAAAAATCTCGTGAAGTAGCCAACTTTGGCATCAGTCAGAAATGAAAACATAAAAAAAATGTCGCCAATGCAAAATATTTCTTGCCAGCAGCCTGAAAAGGTAAAAGCTTGTCAGTTTGGTGCAGTGTATCCAATTCTGGCAGGCAACCTTGATTCGCACGGCTAGCCCTTGAATGCGTGTTGCTGCAGGAGTGCGAGTCCATGTTTTGACGATGGCATGCGCACATAACGCAGAGGACACAGGCGTGCTAAAACAGGGACTGCATCTGCACATTCCCAACAGGCTGCTCCTTAAAAACATCATTGGTTGTAGTGATCTAACCAAGTCATACGTTGTATTGCATAGCTTGTGCCAGTTCATTGAGTTCTCACCATTTAAGTTTTACACTTTGTTATTGTAAATATGTTCAAGTTATACTCTCAAACTCAACTTATATTCTAAAATGGACATGTTGCTAGGCTAGTAGGTGGTCTGTACCAACTAAATCTAGCCTAGTATGGCATATGGCACATTAGGTGTAGGTTTTATGAAGTGCTGTAAGAGCTTGGCTTGAAACTGTTGGAGCTGGCTAGTAAATTTTGATTGTGTTCCTTCTCATAATGTGCAAATTGGGGTATAAAGAATTGCTTTGCTAGTGAATTTATGACTCACTGAATTACCAATTTATACTTAGGTGACTATAATACTGTGCAGGGGTATATGCAGAAATTTTTTTCAGAGAAAGGGGTGCACATTTTTTTATCTGAAGTGGCGGCCAGGCAGGCAAATGGTCATTTTGTGCCATGTATGCCATGGTCAAAAAAAAAAAAAATTCAGGGGGACGAGTTCAGTGTGCCACCACCTGGCTACGCCACTGATCCTGTACATTGAAATCTACAGTTGTTGGTGACTGTTATGGCAACGATTGAAAGCTGAACATTGTGCTTATGCATGCTTCCCGCATCTCTTAAGGCCTGTGTCGTAGTCGCGGATTGCACTTCACTGATTGCCCTGGAAGGGCACTGATTTTCTTTTCTGTAGTGGAACATTGTTCAGAGACTCGTGCAATCATCATAGATTGTAATCTCGAATCCCACACTCCAGCAGCTTGCACAATACGCAGTCTACAATGGCAAGCGCCCTTTAAACCTCCAGTTGCCTCTTTCAGCTTCTTGCTAAAAAATGTTACATGCTTTTGATTTTACACTTCTTTCCAGTATGTGATGCCATTCCTAATAAACCAAAGCGGGTCTGCTATTTACGCTCTGGCTCTAGGATCTGCAGGTCAGTGGCGAGATTTATTGACTTATTCCGCACGCGATGTTTGTTCTGCCCTCTTGCTTGTTAACTCTTTATTGCCTAGTGTCACAAATTCGCGACATGCCGAAAAAATTATAGCGAGCAAGTCAGGGAATCTGTGCCTCCTTTAATGCCGGCAGTCAAGTACTCGGGGCAATGTAGCTTTTAGCATGAAAAATCTGGCGCTATCTTGTCTAATGTATTTCATGCTGGAACCAATTGTTTTGTAGCTCATGGCGAAGAGCGTGAAGTGCGTGCAAGAATGCTCATGTCTTCGTTCTTTCTCACCTTGCTGATGCAAGTTCCATCTTCAGTGTTTATTTGGTGTGTACTAGCTCAAGACATGGCGCACGACATCTTGCATAGTTCTGAAGTATGTTTTTCATTGCAAGATCCTCGCTACTTTGGCATATGGAGAAATTGCGACATGCATAAAAGCATGCATTAAAGGTGAATTTCAGATAAATTAACTGTGGAGTCATTTAAAGATTGCTTTCAAAGCTGGAAAATGAAAACAATTTTTTATTTTCTTTGGCAGTTTCATAATTCAGTATTAAAGGGTTAAAGATTCACTCTGTTTCATACATCAGGCGCAACGCTGTGGTGGCTGTGAAGAATTCAGTCAGCGATATGTGTGAGCCCATGCATCTCAAGCTTGAATTTCATCATTGTAGACATGGCCTTGCCTATCGGTTTCAGCTGAGTGCTACTGTAACTGATTGTGGAGGCTACTTTGCGAAAACAAGGGTGCCCCGAGTGATCCAGAACAACCTACTGACAACCGTATGAATAATAAAGTTTCTTTATTCCTATGGCACAAGGCATGGTAATTCGTTACTGTCTAAAAAAACAAAAAAAAAGAATATTGCATTACGGACCGTGAAAATCATTGAACTATTTTTGGTGCAAACATATTTACCACTAATAGTCTGTCTTTCACACTGTTGACCTTATGTATGGAACGAAGTATGGCTACCATCAAGTCTGCATTTTGAGAAGTTGGATGACAGATATATGGACAAGTTTGTTCAAAATTGTATTTGTTGCTTCAGTAAGATATCTAATGGGTGAGCAACAATACTGAATGTAGAGAACCTGGCCAGTTTGTATATGACTGAAGATGAAAAGCTCTTGGGTTTCTTTAGCTGGCTTTTCATCTTCGCTTAAGTAGGTAAGTTGATTGACAGCGATTGTTTTGTCAAAGTGCCCGTTCAATTAGTTTTTGTTGGGTAGTTCTACCCAAGCATTAATGTGGACTTTGAAAACCTGCTTAACACTTTCAGTGTTTCAGGCATTTTCGCCCCCCACGTGCCTAAAATATTTGCAACAAATTCAATGTATTTGTAACACATTTGGCTGACTTAGCTTGAATGCAATTAATTGACAATCTCTTAAGGGACACATTACAATTGCTTTCTTTAATTTTGGTGTCTCCTTAATGACTTTTTTTAATTTGTGAACTCCTGCTCTACTCATTTGTGGAGGATTCCCATGCAGGCTAGTTGGCTCTTGGACATTATGGCACAACAGTGCAAAACACAGGCTGGTAACCTGTGTTAATGTCCCGCGTGTTTCACTCACCTTTATTTTGCATCGTTATGTTTTAATGATGCATCAAATTCTGATGCATACTTCAATGCTGTACTTGAAAGTACCTGACCAGGGCCCGTCCTAAAACTTTCTGAAATAATTTTTCAGTGTGCCTATTGTTGCCAAAGTTACAAGTAATTTTGCTTTAACTGTCACTGGCGTGACGTTGCTGGGAGGCAAGAGGCCTCTTTTCGGCTTGTGTCAGCTGACGGCATTCCTTGCTGTACTTGATCACCTAAAAAAATGTCGGCTGTGCCCACAGAACTACTGCACAGCCTGCCCTTTGCCTGTGAAGTACAGTCACGCTAGCTCGTTTTTGCTAAAAAAACAAGTGTGTTTTCTTGGCTAATATATAAATATTAGACATATTAGGAGTAAAAGGTTTTTTGTTACTACATAAAACATCATGTTTCACTGGGCAGCAATGCCTAAATTCATGATGAAATCGAAAAGTTTCTCGAAATTTTTCTTTTTCAATCAATCAAAGCAAAGTTCTCGAGCACAAACATTCTCGCCATACCAAGTAGTTTTTGCAGTTTTATACCAAGAACGTTTTAAACGACTAGCCCATTGTCAGGTTTTATCTTAAGCAGGTCATGAACTACCCTCTGAGCTTGATAAGAAAACAGGTCCGGCAGAAAACAGGCGCTGCTGCGAACATTCCAGTCATTTCTTGCAGTCGTGTGCAGCAAGGAGGGCTTTCGAGGGAAGCGTGACGTTGCCATTTTCTTGCACCCTTTTTTTTGCATATAGAGGTCCATTCTCGCTCACTTCGGAGCAGCCAGTTCTCGTTTTTTTGACATCAAACAGCGGGTGGTGGGCTACTCGCCGATAGCGCATAAATCAAGAGCAGCATATGAATCAGCTGCGCTTCTCGCCATGAGGTGCCACCATGGGGCGGTGCTGCCAGAGTTTCCTTCACATACTCTAGCATTAACTCAGGCGCTAGTGTCTATGGGAGCTGCAACGCTCGGCCATACATCAGGAGAATTTCTCTGATCTTCGTACTTTCAGCTCCGTTTGGCTTCGCGTGACTTGGGGCTGCTTTGTCATGAAATGACAATCAGCAAATGTTCAGCAGTTGCACTTCACCACTTCAGTGGTCTGTTCAACGTTTTGCAACGGTCTGTTCTTTTATTTGAACAAAAAAAAAAATAAAGACACAGCAATAAACAAAGCCACAAGTGCAATTGAAGCCCGCAATCACGAAGACTAGGCAAATTTGTGTACTACCAATCATTCCCGTTGTGGCTGAATGATCGCAGTGCCAGAGTCCCCTCTTGCTAATTCTAGAAAATGAGTGCTGTGATCCATGGTTTGCTAACATCACACAGTGAGCCACACAGACGCAAAACTAACAATGAAAGAGGGTGGTTGCATGTCATAAAGCAGGCTCAATATAATGACGTGCACTGTCAAAACTTTTTTCCTTTTGCCATTCCTCCGTTTGGCTTCCAGTGCTCTCATCGGGGCGAGAAAAAAGAGAAAGTACTCAGCATGCGACAAGCGCCTGTAACTCTGCTCGTTTTTTGAAGGATTTCAGAAATTCTTGCGGCAGTTGATTAGGGAGGCAATGAGCTTTAATACTGAGGTCATTAAAGGACTACCGTTGAACCCCTGTATAATAGACAGCAGTGGTGCTGCGTAAAAATGGTTGTTTTTAAGAAAGTGTATACATGGTACCTTGCTCATAAGAGGCACCTCATATAAGAAGCAAGAACTGCTCACCAGTGCAGTGCTCTTATAAAAGAGTTCATAAGTTTTAAAGGAGTTCAATCAGTGCTCTTATAAAGGAGTTTAACAGCATGTGGAAAAGTGGTTCATGACACATTTAAATGCATTGGGTAGCATTCTATCATGATGATCACCTAAATAGCAGTTCTCTTATAAAGGAGTTTAACAGCATGTGGAAAAGTGGTTCATGACACATTTAAATGCATTGGGTAGCATTCTACCATGATGATCACCTAAATAGCAGTTTGGTCGTACGTTCTTTCCAGACTTGTCTTTGGCGGTGCCGTTAACCAATGCTCTCAACTTCATCTTCGTCACTTTGGCTGGGCGCATTCTGGGTGAAACGACCACCAATGCCCGTGAGTACCTCTATACGTGTCGAGTGAAGACAGTGGCTTTCTATGCTAAAAATACGGCAGGGTTGGAATGTGTCGGCAGAATTGCCTGTGCAATTAGGCTTTTTTAATGCAGTTTATTATTTTTGAAAAAAAAAGCTAAAACAAGCACAGTCATCTTATACAATCACAAGCAGTCAGCTACGTAAATACTGCGATTGAAGCATGTTAAAGCAGGTAGTGCAAAGGAACGACGCAAACGAGGAGCAAGTACACGAAACGAGTCTGAACTTCAAATATAAAGTTCATTCACATAATTTATTCCTATTTATCAAAGATCAAAACACGACATTGTCATCGAAGAAAGAACGACTGATACAGCAATGGTTTTCATGGTGCCAAACCTTGTTGACCAGCTCTTATAACTAAAATGATACGCACGAAAAGTCAAAGCACTCAAACATATTGTAAACTGAAGTAAAAAAAACGGCACGCATGTTCAGACTCGAGACTTCCCTTCACGCTCCAAGCATAGGACCCAGGTTAGCCGAAAGTAAAGCTAACTTACAAGGGTGTAGGCTCAGGTGAGGCGGGCTGACGCATTCGAGATTATTCTTGTAAATTTAAAAAATTGGCAGATCCCACGTACTGGGGGAATCGATGATACGCGAAGCATGAATGAGGAAGGTTGATATGCCACTTTAAAATCAGCAAAACGTTACGAAGTGGAGTTAAATTATGCGGTACATGACTTTCTTGTCACGATTATTATGTTTGGACGTGTCATTTATCTTTTGTCATCTATTCACGTCACCCGATACCAAATTTGGTATATGTGGAGCTAGCGGAACGTCCCCGAGCGTGCTACAAATGTAGCATGTAGTCAAGTTTTACATGACACACGTGTCATGATTATCATGTTTTTAACAGTCACATACCTTCGTTGTCCATCCACGTCCCGTAATAACAAATATGGTATATGCTAATCTAGCGAAACGGCCATCGAGCACACCACGACTCCGTCGTAATGTTGATGCGCGCGCACGCTGAGCGCAGCGACACTACGCTAGCAAAACGCGAGCAGCGTCCGACGGCGCGCCCCAGTTGGAACTGGTGCGAAATGCAACATCCTGCATTTCGCGGGAACTATGTTACCCAGACAGCACCGCATCTGCCTCTATTCGTGACGAAGGAACGCCGAGCGCACTCAAACGCGCACTCAAACGCGCATGCGTCAAAGCAACGCAGCGCAGCACACGCCTGCGAGTATATGGCAGGCAGATCTGCACCTGGTATAGCATCGCCGGCGTGACGCGACAAAACACATGCCGGCGCGCACGTACGCTGTGTCATGTCGACGCTGTGTCATGTCGAAGTGTATTGCACCTTGAGTGTGGCATGTAGTCATGTTCTTACAGAACACGCGTCTCATGATTATCATGTTTGCACCAGTCACACACCTTCATCATCTATTCACGTGATGTAATACCAAATTTGGCATATGTGAATCTAGCGAAACGGCGGCGAGCGCATCATGAGTGTGGCACGTAGTCATGCTGTTACATGATACACATGTCATGATTATCATGTTTGCCCCAGTCGCATACCTTCATCATCCATTCACAACCTGTAATACCAAATATGGTATTCGCTAGCGAAATGGCCACATGCACATCATGAGTGTTAAAATCGTGACACGCATGTTATGCTTTTAAAATTAAGGTCTGTTGTTTGTGTTTGCCATGCAGTCATGTCATACCACACCAGTTTTAAAACATGTCATGTTAACGAAACCACCGCAAGAGCATGGAATGTAAATCATGACATACATGTCACGATTTTCATGTTATGACTAGTCACTTATGGTTGTCATACAGTCATGTTATGTCATACCAAGTTTGGTATTGATACCATTACTGGAACGGACAGGCGAGCTAAATCGTAAGCGGCTAGATAGATAGATAGAAAAATAGATATGCTCAGAGTTGCCGAGGTTCACTAAGAAATGCTTCACATTTAAAAAGTTCTCACGATCATTCTGGGAATGTTGTTATAGTTCCATTACAACACTGTTGCATCAGTCAAAAGTGGTCCACCATGACACTGCCGACAGTGCATCGCGAGATGCGAGTATGGTTAACCTTCGAGGCAGCTGAATTGCTCTCCTAGCTTAATGTTCAGATATCTGCCCATTTTGAAGCACATTAGAATGATTCTTGTAATCCTCTACACTGTTACCGACTTTCTGTGCTTTTATGACGTACAGCTTGTTCACTGTGGGTGCCGCGATAGCTTTTTACGAGTAAACGTTGGAGAGCTGCGGGTGTGCACCGACCTCTTCGGCTAGCAAGCGAAAGTCAAAACCATCTCACACGATCTTGCATCGTGTTCCAATGCATGTTCTTTTTATTTACAGGTACATACATTGGCATGGCCTTTGTGACCACAGGTGTGACACTGTGCGTCGCAGACAAAGCCTGGAACCAGAATTGACGACCAACTTTCAATTTTTTCTTATTCTAGAGCGTTGAGAGAGCATTCACATGTGATAGCAGCACCTGTCTGTCATCTGTGCACACCGAGAAAAATGGGATCGTCGAACGGCTTGTACAGAAATGGTGAAATTCCAGGCGCGTAGTTGGTCACCTGTTGGTACACCTTGTATTTATTTAAGAGCTAAATATAGAAGTATTTAAGTGCTTTAATATTGCATGTAACTTCATCTTGCATGGCTCGGGTCCTAGTGTAGCACGGGTCCTGTATGCAATGCAGGATCTCATTTTTCACGCTGGCGCCAACATTCGTCGAACATTGCATCGATTCTTCTGCACCGTTTTTGGACTGTGCAGCATGAGGTGTTACTAGAGTCTATGTTTGAGTGAGATGGAGTGTGAACTTGCTTTCTTCACCATGCACTGAACGGGTGCACGGAATTGGTGCACACATTAATGCCTAAATGTTTGCTGCCAGGTGCCTTCATGTTAACGACCTGCTTAATGCAAAAGCATGCGAAGCCTTCATTGGTGATTCTAATCACTGTAGTTATGTAGTTCATGCAAGATATGATAAGTGAGCTGCAGATACAGTGCATGAGCAGTTTATATATATAGAAAAACTTTAAAGTGAGAGTAGTGCGAGGTACTGTACGCCTAGCTTTCTAGCTGTCAGAAAAAAAAAGAAAAAGACAAGATGGCGTTCCTCATTCTATATTTCGGAAGCTAATTAAGACTTGGAAACCACTCGGTGCGCAGTCGAACAGAAAATCAATAGCATTAGGAGATGGGAGGACAGCAGGATGGGTAAGGGAACATATCTTAATTGGCATCAAGGAAAAAAAATGGACCTAAGCTAGCTACGTAATGCACACAGGGGTGGAACAGGGTGTGTGGGGCTGTTTGTTGGCCTAGTTGTCTCTTTATTCTACGTTCGTGATATTTCGCGGCTAAAATATGTCATTAAGGGTACGTGCGTTTGGAGCAGCCTCGGAGGCAGGCTTGGAGCAGCTTGAAAGGTCTTTTTGAGCAAGTTTGGAGCTGTCAGGGAGAATGTTCAGAGATGTAGCCCCGTTGCGCAGCACTTGTAGAGAAACATTTGTCCAATGCCGCATTTTTGAAACACTAAGCTAAGTTGTGCAATACCTTAATTATTGCCGTAGCAAACCTTCTCGATGGGTTTTTACTGTTGCCGTAGCTGTCACGTTCCTTATAATGTTCAAATTGATAACATACCTCTGCACATCCTATGTTCTCCCGTGGGTGAAAGCACGCAAGCGGTGGCGACAAACTCGGCTGAAGTAGAGACCAAATGAGCCAGCCCTTTTTTGTCACTCAGAGGGCTTGTGTGATAACATCATGTTGCTCGGGAGGCCGGTGGGAAAGCAGAGACTAAGAGAAAACCCCCCGGCCGGTTGAACGAGCGAGGAAAAACTCGGGGGGGGGGGGGGGGGAGCAAAGGAGTGTCGCTTGAGCAGCTACTGTGCACTTTGCTTCTAATGGTGTGCTCACAATCGCCAATGTGCATGCTAGCCCGGCAGACATCAGTGGCGCACATACACTTTCACATGCTTCACTCTCATGGCAAAGAGACTGCCAAAAAGTGTTGCTCACCCTGGAGAGACTTTACTCTCTTACAGCACTATTTTGTAGAGTTACATGAGGACAAATTTAGAATCTCTAGCTATCACATTCATTGCTTCGGCCTTGCAGTTAAACTCGTCTTTTTAGCTATGTACAGCCACCCATTTGTTAAACATGAATGCACAAGCATCAAACGCTGGGTCGATGAACGCTTCATAGTGGAACACAGTGGCCAAATGAACGAAGATACTCACGTGCACTTGTTAAGCAATCTTGTGCAGCTGTCCTTGCTAGGTTATTCTGGGCAACATAAACCACCCCGCTTCTTTTGAGCACCTTTCTTTTCTTTTTAACGTTGCTGCTGTCAATTTGAAAAAATATATCAAATCACAAAAAAGTATCACTTTTCCACCGAAACAGCAAAGCAATAAATGCTATAGCCACAAATTTTAATGTTATATGTAGTAAAGCTGGCAGCTAGCTCTTTCAGATCTGATATCGCATTATTATACAAAACACTGGTATAGGAGAATAGGGCTGCGCCTTAGAGAGATGTTCTTTCCGCAGTCTTTTAACTGCACGCGGAAGGGTCCAAGAGCCATCCGCACTGATGCCTGCCTAGATGGTGCGCGTGCCAGCAATCACGACTACGCTCTCAGAATCGAATTTACAGCTGCTGCTCGAGCGATGACAGCCTTGGTGAAACCGACACTATAACAGTTTCGAAGAAACCGAAAATACAATGTGTCAGCTACGTTTTCAGGAAGGTGCTGGATGGATGTTGCCATAGAGTTTCCTAAATATACACTAGAGGGAACTCTGGCACTGGTGTCTATGGGAGCTGCAACGCACGGCACTTCAGCAAGCATGGGAATGACGGGTAGTACATGCATTTGTCTAATCTTCGTACTTCTGGCTCCGTTTGTCTTCACTGGCTTGGAGCTGTTTTTTCACGAGACAAAAGTCAACAAATGTTCAGCGGTTGCGCTTCATCATTCTATTATTTTAGGCTTACCTTTCCAAATCGGGTCAGGAAGTTCAAAAGGGTTCATTCTTTCTTTCGAAATGAGATCGAAACACAGCATAAAGGAAGCCACAAGTGTGATTCGTCGCTCGCAAGTACGAAGACTAGGCAAATTTGTGTACTCAGGGTCACCGAACGATCGGAGTGACAGAGTCATCTCTAGTTCATTTTAGGAAACTCTATGGACGTCACACCTTGTGTCTAAATTCGGGGGCTGCGGCGCAGTACGGCACTGATAAACGAGTTTGGCGCTGGATGGCACTGGTGAACAAATTTGACACACAATGGCTCAACAGGCGTAACTGTTGAGCCCCTGTGCATAGAACAGACAACTGGTGTACAGCAGGAGCAACAAAATGGCTACTGAGGGATAGAAAATGTACTCGGGGAAGGCCGAGAGTTAGACTGGGTGGGGAGGTGGGCCGAAATTATGAAGTTTGTTGGGATAAAACAGCATTGACTTGCACAGGCAAGGAAATTATTGGAAGAGGCCTTTGTCTGACTGGACTAAAGCAGGCTGAGAATGATAATCATGGTGATAAATTTCAGCTTAAGAATGTAACGAAAGTTACAGCGCTAGAAAGCTGACACAAACATTACTTTGCAAGCACACTTCAAAATTTGGTTCGATGCTACTAAGCTTCACAAGCTTGATGTTCCTTGATACGCGAGATATGTCTAGTTTTTCTCTTGCTTGGGCACATTTTCTCTGCATACTGTGATAAAATATAGGAGTGGGTAAACGGCACCATGCAGGGAACTTGTGTCTTGAAACGATGAGAATAAGTCGGCCTCCTTGTTGCGATGCGGGGCTGTATTTGCTACTTTGCCATATATTCGTATGCACGTACCTTTGCTGAAATTCTGTGGCCACGCTATGCAAATAAGGTCACATTGTGTGTCCGGTTAATTGTCCAATAATTCTTTTAATTCCTGCGGTGTGCAGTTCGCCAATGTTTCATCAACTTAATTTGCCAGAAGCGCGTTTCTTCAATAAGCAAAGTGGATTTTACAGGCACTTAGGCCCGGGAAAGCTAAGGGGACGGTAATTGTAGTCTTATAGTGCAGTAACTGGGACATTAGTTGCAATAAATTAAAGTGATCAAGAAGTCAGCCTTATTTTGATACGGATTTGAAGCCGCGTGTAATTTGAAGTTTGTGGGTTCTGTTCGGACCAAAAGAAAGAGCCATTTTTTGTCTATTTGAATTCACCGAAGTTATTGTCGCAATCACTACACCACAAATAAAGTCTCTCAGTCTGCACCCACAGCGAGTATACATATGACATACATAGTTCTTATAATCACACAAGTTGCACATCATTCTAGGTATTTGTCGTCGAACTCGACGCACGAAATCAGAAACTCCCGGGCAAGGCACGCACGAAGCGCAACCATTCAGCTACGTCAGACTGATGTACCCAATACATGGGAGCGACGAAATTTGAATGACGGCGCACCGCGGCCGCATGTTTTCCTAAAAAGCTGCAAATCATCTCATTCGTCTGGCGTATCGCCTTACTTTTGTGCGGGTAGTGTTAGTTTTTGGGAGCTCGCTCGCCAAGCTTCTTATGTTCAGGTCATGTGCCTAAATGTGTACGCTAGAGGCGCAACTGTGCGATGTACCCACTACACGCCAGCCGTAACATTCATGAAATAGGGAAGCATCCAATGTGCCGCTCGCCATTCTGATAATAAGGGGGGTACCCACGAACACATCTGTAAGGCATGTGCACTTTGTGCTGCCATGAAGGCTCATCCACTGGCGGACCCCAAAGTGAGAGCCCACGATGCAGAGGTGGCACACAAACGGCGGCAAGAAAACCTCGTCTCGACACCTGTATCGACATTGCCTTCTTCAACTTTACACTGCAACTTTGAATTCAAGATCCCCTCACCGCACACTTCGCCAAATGCAAAATTGTAATCTTCAAAGAAAAACGCATCTAACAAATTTGTAATCAGTAATGTAATCTTCGTATATAGTTGAACCCATATGCAAATGAGTACATATTGTGTATATATCAGTGTATATAATTGTATCAATATATTATTAATGGAACTTGTATATAAGTGTATGTAGAGTCAGCCCTACAACAATGCGTTACACCTTTATGTGATGGTAGAGGACTTGCGCAGAGAATTCCCAGTTTCTGCCCGATCAGTTCCGAGCAAGCTCCTCCGTCATCACTCACTTCGTGGAGATGACGGAACTTTTTCGTGAATTTTCAGACCTGATTCAGCTTTGGCACGCCTTCATTCGAATTTCGCCACTTTTCTGTCTCGTGTCATGCCTGCGTTCCACCTCGTGCTTAGTGCGCGCTGGGCGCGATCAGTTTTCATTTCACTCATCAAGTTCAATGATGGATATCTCAAACTAGTATGTTCAACTGTTGCGATTTCTAAAAAAATTTGGGTATGCCATAAATTCACAGGGTAACTTTGTAATATAAACACCTGCCGTTAATTCAATATTGAAAAAAGTCAATTAGTGAGATTTGTTCATTAGTCACCACTGTGCCATGTTAACGGCTGCAAAGTATTTCGGCCTCAATGTGGAGTTTGTGTGTAAAAGGGAGAGGAGCATTGCTGTCACAGGATCTACTTATAATCTATGTTATAAAAGACACCCTGTATAAAGTGGATTAGGCATTATTTAGTGCCCTTCACAAAAGGAAATGTGTCGAATTCACTCTTTACAACCATCCGCCTAATGCCCCTCCGCAAAACTCTGCTTACATCCTATCAGCGAGGCTGTAACGCTGAGCGGTTCATGCACAGGCCTGTCCCAGCTCCGCAACACATTTGTGGCTTCGCTGTGCCCACATTTCCTACCGGTATAGTAATTTCAATTATCAACTCTAATGCACAGATGATATCGCAGCGTCATTGAACACCTTCAACTGATCGAATGAACATCGAGAGCGGACATGAAATCTACAGACCTGCCCATCACCCCACCTTTTCACCTTCCCCAACTTTATAGCTGCTCGGTTACTGTTCTGGTGCACAGAGACAATGAGATGAACTATTCGTATGCAATGAGCGATGGCTTAACCTATGAGCAGGCGATGAGCCACGTTATTACACATTACACAGGTGCTCTTTCGATGTCAGCTTGAAATACCACTGTGACGATCCCGATGCGTCAGTGGAGCAAGTTATAATGGACCTATTTCATGTTTGTAAGCAGTGGTATGCACCGTCGACATACTGGGTTGAATGCCTGGATGCGCGCGCTGCGAACGAGTCCATCGAGGCACCCTAATACAGGGTGAGGCCACTGGATAAAACGTTTTTAAATGCGAAATGCATTTCTCAGTCGGGGCATGTAAGGCGTGTGTCTGTGTCCGTGTGCCGCAGGTGTTGTCTCTCCGCTCTTACTCCCTCTCTCATTCAACTTCATTCGCCTCGGTGTTGCTTGCGAAAAAGATATGGGGAACAGCGCTTCGTAGAGATCATCTCTAATGAGTATTTTAATACTGAAAGACTGAAAGCTGTGCAAACCAAGTGGTTACAAAATACTGCAGCAGCAGGAGCAGCACTTCTTCTCTCGAGTTTTCTGGGTGGAAAAGAGAAAGAAAAAACGAGAGCATGTCAAGTATACATGATCAAGTGCCAGTCACGTGTCTTTGCAATCATTAATGACTCTGTGCAATTGAGATAGGGCGGTAGAATTGTAAACATGGTTAAAATCTAGTACATAGTACCCACGTTGGTTGTGAAAGAGTTCATTTGCTTGAACCGAGGGAATAATAATGTATTTTCTCGCATGTAACCCGCATCGAAAAATGGACAACAGTGTAAGAAAAGTGGGTTTGCGGATTATATGGAACAGGTATACGCATGTTTTGTTTTTTTTTTTCTTTTTGTGGAGTTAAAGTTGGGAGTGTGGGTTATATGCAGAAGAAGGTCATATGCCAGGAAAGACAGTATTTTAATGTTTCATTTTATATTTGGTAAATTTCGTGTCGTGTGCCTTGCCAAGTGGATCATCTGCATTCATTAGCAGTGAGAGTGTTTAAACCACATTTATTGTTAGTGGTAAGAGGTGAAAAGAATTAAGGAAAGTGAAAAACTCTTCACTCAGTAAATCTTCATCCCTGGGTCTCGGTAGAGCAAGACATTAGCTGAGTGAAATTCACTTACAGGGTTACTGTAGAGTTATTGCACTAAAACAACTGCTTGAAAAGTGCGAGAAAAAAATTTCATCAAAGACTGCTTTTGTTCAAAGTGCTGGTACTATGACTATGGTCAGAACACCGTTTGTCAAGCAGCTGCGGTAGCTTGGTCTTTAAACTTACATACTGTTGCATGCTTGTTGCTGCATTCCATCCAATTACGCGTCGTGTCTAATAATGGAATTTTCCACTCTTGGTTTCATAGAAGCTGAAACGTTTCACGTATGTCTGATATGCTTGTTTTTGTTTTTGGCACATTGTGTCTCGTTACTCGAGCTGCAGCAGGCTCAAGGTGAAAGTTACATGCAGGGCATAATTATCTGCTCTCGTGTTAGTGTGCGTCAATTCACCAACATCTTTGAGACAGCAATGATATATTGCACGCAAAGAAACAAATATAGATGTTTCTTTCATGTCGGGAGGTTATGGTACTGCACTTGTTAATTTGGCAACACATTACATGTGCTTTCCTCATCAATAAATAACATGCGATTCACCGATATTAATGTGGTAGGGCACATCTTTTTTTGCTCATTCAATCAGTCACTTCTATAGCTTTAACAATTTCTCACTAGATGGCAGAGTGTGTATATGCCTTTGTCATTACCAGCCATTACCATTACCAGTCATTACCAGCATTGATGTATGCAGATGATATAGTATTAATAGCCCACAACAAAGAAGATCTGCAGGGATTGATATACATTTGTGGTAATGAGGGACCATAACTAAGGGTACCAGGAATGCAGCTGTAGTGAAAAATAGTGCACTGTGGAACTACAATAGGTACGACGTTGTGAGAGGGATTTGGAAAGGCGTCATGGTCCTGGGTTTGACGTTCTGCAATGCGGTCTTGTGCATGAAATCAGAAGTTCAAGCAAGATTGGAAATTAAACAATGTGGCATAGGTAGACTTGCTTTGAAAGCACACGGGAATACCCCAAATCAGGGGGTGTAGGGAGACATGGGATGGACATCGTTTCAGTGCAGGGAAGCTAGCAGCAAGATAGAATTGGAGGAGCGATTGAGAAAAATGGGAGAGGAGCGTTGGGATAGGAAAGTTTTCAGTTACTTGTACATGAAGAGTGTCGATACTAAATGGAGGAAATAAACTCGAAAACTGTTAATCAAGTATTTAGGCATCAGCAAAATACCAAGCCAAAAGGAAACATCAGTTAAGAAAAAGGTGAAGGAAACAGAGGGACATGTGGAAGATGGGAATGCTTACAAAATTATCACTAGAGACCTACCGAACTTTTAAGCAGAAAATCGCAAGGGAGAAGATCTACGATAACTCTCGGGGTAGTTCTCTGCTGTTCGAGGCCAGAACTGGAGTATTGCGGACCAAGACGTACCGAGACAAATACAAAGGCACAGGCACGGTGTGTAGTGCGTGTCGAGAGGAGGAGGAAATGGCTGAACATTTGATAATGTTTTGTAAAGGGCTCCACCCTATAGTCGAAGATAATGGTGCCGAATTTTTCAAAGCATTGGGGTTTAGGGACAGTGAAGGCAAAATAGACTTTAAACAGGTAGAAATAACCAGGAGGAGGCTAACTGATTGGTGGCACAATCGAGGCGCGAGTGAAATTCAATCTTTAAACACATAGTGATAGTACTCAACTTTATGGCTAGGGGACGTGAGCCACCGCCCGATCTAAAGGGCACAGCCGAATACATCCATCCATCCTTGGAAAGAATATCACTAGATGGCGTTACTGGTTTTTGTATAATAAGAAATTCACAGCATATTCACGGAGTGAATGAGCGGGGCGAAGCATTCGTCCGATGCATTCTCTAGTGCGATAGAAGCAGACGGACGGACGCACGCTTTGTCCCATTCATAATCATTCACTCCGTTGATATGTTGTAAATCTTTGTTGTATTTACTGATTTGCTTTGCTCATAGTTACTAATTGTGTATTATTCATTCAAGCACTGTCCGGCATAAAACCGTGTTGAATCAATGACATAGAGCTGTCATAGAATCGTAACCAGGCCCGGTAGCGCGCTTGTAGCCACTGCTTCAAAAACTATTCAACTGTTACTATATCTATAAGAAAAGCCTCCTGTTTGAACACTACGGCGGAATAGTCTAAAAAAAAGTGGGACAGTGAACACACAAAACTCAGTACAAGGTCGCGTGTGTGCACTGTTCTGTTTGTTGCGCTGTTCTGTGTTAATGTTCATGGAGCACAACTAGCCCGCCCAAGAACCTCCCATACCTGCTTGAGTGCCTCTTCGATTGCCGCTCCAAAGACCTTTTCGAGACCTTGGTCCATCAGTGCCGAACATTCCACGTAGGCCGATCCGCCGATGCATTTCAACATGGCTTCGCCTTCGGAAGTGCTCACAAATGAGTCTGCATCTGGCCTGGGATCCACTTCACACAGTGGCTGTGGATCAAAGTCTCGAACATCCTGCGGGAGGGACCGTACATGACGGGATGTCGGGATTCGACGTGACGCGACTCACACAGTCGGTCTATAAGAAACGCTGTACATTACCAAGGCAAAAGTGCTATATACAATATAAGTGCTAAAACAATAAGTGTTCTAGAAACTAAAATCGATGAACTGGAAAACCATAGTCGCCGGTCAAATCTAATCGTTTATGGTCTTCCCGAGGGACCAAATGAAAACAACGAAACGCTTGAAAGTGCTGTCAACACAGGCATTCTTAAAGATATCATGAAACTTGAACCTGTCGGTATCGAGCGTATTCATCGTATAGGTAGACCTGAAACTGGCAAAGTTAGGCCAGTCATTTTCAAATTGCTTGATGGGCGAGACAAAGCTAGGATACTTAAAAACGGGTCCAAACTTAAAAATACCACGCTAGCTATCGGGGAAGACTTTTCTCCGAAGATACGAGATATTAGAAGAAAGCTTTGGGCAAGTGCAAAAGCTAACCGAGATAACAATGAGAAAGTAAACTTAGCATTTGATAAACTGTATATCGATGGCCAGGCGTATGTCTGGGACAGTGATAAAGGCGAAAGAATTCCGGAAAAAAAAAACGACGGAAGCAAAACCCGCCCGATGACCAGACGGTATGCCCAATCACAGAGTCACACGTAGGAAAACAACTCGCATTTTCTTCAAAAAATAATTCAATGAAAAGTAAATTTTTCGTTACCGGTCAGCAGGGCGTTAAACAAAAATGCCTTCGCTTGGTTAACATAAATGCCCGAAGCGTCAATAACAAAACTGAACTAATGGAAATTGCCTTACTTCAACACGATCCACATGTAACAGTTGTGTCTGAGACATGGTTGCTCCCCGAAATAGCTGATGATGATGTATTTCCGCCCTCGTATAAGGTGTTTAGGAAAGACAGAACTACAAGGGGAGGTGGAATAGCCATACTTGTGAAAGAAACACTGCAGGCCTCATTAATTGGTTACATTGATGACTTAGAATGTGTATGCATTAAGCTGTCTTGTTGGAGCCACATTTTCATCTTGTATGCACTTTACAGACCCCCAGAGGCTGCGTTTGAATCCATGAAAAAGTTAGCTGAACATATGTCTCAATTTTGCAACAACAAAATTTTGTTAGCAGGTGATTTTAACCTACCTTCTGTTGACTGGGAACATTTTGCGACAGGACCATTGTACAAAAAAGAGACTGAGATTGTGTTTAACATCATGCTAACCCACAACTTGATGCAAGTTGTGAGGGAGCCAACTCGTGTGCATGGATCCTCTAGTTCGATTTTGGATTTAGTATTTATAAGCCGTGAACTCGAGCTGCACTCTGTTTCAGTAGAACAGGGCCTCTCCGATCATAAATTGGTTACAGTCTCTTTTCCTCTTAACAATTTTTCAAGTACTAAAAAATCTTCAGTGCGTACCTTTAAAGATTACTCGCGAGCAGATGACGTATCTATAATAGAATACATGGAGTCGTGTTATGCTGTCTTTGAGGTGGGCGATGTCGAGACAATGTGGAATCAATTTAAAGAAATGTGTCATCATTGCATCAATCGTTTTATACCGAATAAACATAAAAAAGTGCACAAAACAACTCCCTGGATAACGCGAGATATAATTCACTTAAAACGAAAGATAAAACGCTTAAGGCAGAAGCATGCGCAGTCTCGTTCCCTCTCAGTCCTCAAAGACAGCCTTGCACGGGCTATACGCTCATCCAGAGATCGCTATTTTAAGACGCTACTGCCCAACTTCATAAAAACTGACCCGACTAAATTCTGGAACTACATTGGTGACAGAAAGAAACCTCTCACCGAAATGGCAATTGATAGCGTGATTGTAACCGATCAAATAAAAATTGCTGATCATCTTAATGCGTATTTTCAAAGTGTGTTTTCTGGCTCTAGTGTTTATGTTCCAAACGGTAGAGTGTTCGACCCATGCGAAGCCTCTTTCGGGTCTTATTCTGGTGTTTTTTCGATGCTTCTGAATCTTAATTCTAAAAAGTCCTGTGGACCTGATAATCTCCCAAATATGTTCCTAAGAAGATATGCCGAACATGTCGTTAAATTCCTGCATGAAATCTTCCGTGCTTCATTGTTGTCATCAAAGCTACCATGTGACTGGAAAGCCGCACGCATAAGTCCTGTATTCAAGAAAGGTGATCGCTTGTCGCCTCAAAATTACCGACCCATATCCTTGACCTCACCCTGCTGCAAATTATTAGAACACATAATTGCTACACAAATTGGAAATTTTTTGACTCAACATTCAATCCTGACCAATTTTCAACACGGCTTTAGAAAGGGATATTCGACAGTGACGCAACTAGTTACAATAATCCACTCATTTGCACTTAACCTGGATAACAATAGGCAAACTGACATAATATTTTTGGATTTCAGTAAGGCATTCGACAGGGTTCCACACGACAAATTGATCTTGAAACTTAAACGTATTGGCCTTCCCGAGATCCTTGTAAACTGGATTGCTGACTATCTAAATAACCGTGAACAGTTTGTTGCTATTAATGACCAGCGTTCGCAGTCTCTACAGGTCACATCAGGAGTACCCCAAGGAAGCGTCCTAGGGCCATTGCTTTTTCTTCTATACATAAATGATATTGTAAATGTCATCACCCCTTCTGTACAAATAAGATTATTTGCAGACGATTGTGTTTTGTTCCGGGTTATTAACTCTTTAGATGATCAAAATGAACTTAACTCAAACCTTCATAATATTCATCTGTGGTGCAATGAGTGGGGAATGATCCTTAATGCAGAAAAGAGTGTCTGCATGCGTTTGACACGTAAGAAAGTTCCACTAAATACTACGTACCAGCTTGGGTCTTCAACTCTTAGAGAGGTTACAAGCTACAAATATTTGGGCCTAACTATAACTAGTAATTTGTCTTGGAACATGCATGTAGACAACATATGTTCAGCTGCCTTTCGGAAACTTGGTTTTCTAAGACATAAACTGCGTACCTGTCCTGCCAATGTAAAGCTTCTTAGTTATTATTCTTTTATACGACCTAAACTGGAATACGCCAGCATTGTATGGGACCCTTACACTAAGCTTAATATTAACAAACTTGAGCGGGTTCAAAGGAAAGCTGTTCGGTTTATATATTCAAAATACTTACCGTCGGATTCACCTTCCGCGCTGATGTCTGCAAACGACATTCAGACCCTTGAATCCCGCAGACGCGAACAACGGCTGGATTTCCTTCAATTATTACTTAATCAAAAACTCGCAATCAATTCATCGCCTTACTTATCTTTTCTGTCAACAAGGAACACACGACATCATCATCCCAATTTGCTAACCCCATTTTTTGCGAGAACCGATGCCTTTATGTATTCTTTTTTTCCTCGAACAGTGTCGGACTGGAACAAGTTATGCGACCCTCATTCATTGTAACATATGTGTAACGTATTGTAAAGTACGACGTATGCAATGTATTGTCGTTGTTTGGCGTAAGTTACTACTTGTGTTGTGGAACATAGTGTAATGTAGTGTTGTAGAACCGGGTGTGTTGTTGCTTTGCATATTGAAGTTTATTGTAGTGTATAGAGCGAAGCGTGATGTTATTACATAACGAAGTGTATTGTAGCGTGTAAAACAAAGTGTGTTTTTCGTATGATGTACGTCATTACGCCTGTGGTATACGTGACGTGCCCTTCCTGCTTGGACCACTTAGGTCCGCAGTATGTATTAAATAAATAAATAATAAATAATAAAAATATAGGTGTCTCGTAAAGTGTGAAGTGGTCGAAAATCGGCGTCTACACAAACAATGCAAAATATTATGATCTTGTGACGAGGTCACAGGTTACAAAAATTTGTGACCGTCATCATGAGATCACTTAGGTCATGTCACATCACGATGCCACCACGTGATAGTTTATAAGGCGATCGCTTCTTTCGTTCTCTCCTTCGCTACCCTCCGCTGGTCTCCTCTCCCAAAGCCGCTTTGCCTTCCTCGCTGGGTGACCCTCCCAATCTCGCGTGGCATATGAGATCGCTAATACGCTTTTCGAAACAACGTCTGCTTCGGGTTACCGTGACTTCGTCAACTCCGTGCTTGTTGGCTAACCCGTGTTACCGTGCCGCAATGGTGGGTGAGTATGGTAACACGTCCTGCCAGAGCACCTGCTCGTGACACGAGGAACAGCCGCTATATACCGCAACATGACGAACAACACTGAGCCCAGGCAGCTGCTCGCAGACTAACCGGAAGTCCTAGGTTCTTGCTCCACCAATCGCAGCGTCGCTTGCGCTGTGCATCACAGGTCCAACTTCGCTACGTCGTGCGGAGACCGGAAAGGCCCGAAGAGGAGGAGAGACAGTTTCTTGGGATTTGTGGCGCGCTCGCGGATCGTGGCGCTAGCACGTGTGGCATTGTTGATCGTTACGGGATTCTGAACACAACGCGCGTCTTTACTTGAAATGTTTGAAAAAAAAAATATCGAGGTGCCGCGCGTCTAAGGAAGATGCGCAAAACCTCGCGACGCAGATATTGTAAACAAATCTACGTCACAGTACGTGTTGGCTGGTCAGTGCGGCGCCCCCGTCACAGCTTTAGCGTGGTCACGTAGCCAGCTGTCTTTATCTAGCCGTCGGAACTCCTACCGCCTAGCTATAGATTCTCGTTGAAACCGTAACTGTGTCTTGTAACTGTTTTTTTGTGTGTGTGTTTGTGTCTGTGGTCTTCTGACCAGCATATATGACGGTAAAATTAAGGTAGCACATTTCAGAGCTCAGTTAGCCAATAAACAATTGTATCGGGCCAGTTGGTATGAATCCATCTTGGTAGGAAGCGCAAAACTATTACACAGAACACACAACTCAAGCGCTTAACTTCAACTTAACTTTTATTGCAAATGTCAGTTTATAAAAGGGGTGAAAGAGGAAAAAAAAAAGTTATTTTCGCTCACGTGGAAAGAACTTTGTTTTTGCAGGGGGTGATAGATAATAACGGATAAGTAATGTACGGTACTGGCACGTGTGATTTTTGTTGGTCTGCCTTTTATTATTTTTATTCTCTTTCACCCCCTTTATAAACGGACGTTTGCAATAAACGTTTAGTTGAAGTGTTTGTGTTGTGTGTTCTGTGTAATAGTTTCTGCGCTTCCTACCAAGAAAGGTCAGTTAGCCGATACAAAACCTGTTCATCCCTTCACTTCAGCGTCCATTGAACAGTGCAACTTGCCTGCTTATTTCCGACGAGTATTATAGGCGCCTTGGGCAGGTGCTTTCGAATCTCGGGCGCCCACTTTTGCTCGACGTTGACTAGGCTGGCCCGGTTGTCTAGCGCAAAGCAGATCAACACCACGTCAGCCTCGCGATAGACGAGGGGCCTCAGCTTGTCGTACGAGCTGGAGCCCGGGGTATCCCACAAGCTCAGGTGCACCTGTTCACAGACGGAAAGAACAAAATTACTCGGGATGGTTGAAGCCACATTGTATTGCCCCGCCGCGGTGGTCTAGTGGCTAAGGTACTCGGCTGCTGACCCGCAGGTCGCGGGTTCAAATCCCGGCTGCGGCGGCTGCATTTCCGATGGAGGCGGAAATGTTGTAGGCCCGTGTGCTCAGATTTGGGTGCACGTTAAAGAACCCCAGGTGGTCGAAATTTCCGGAGCCCTCCACTACGGCGTCTTTCATAATCATATGGTGGTTTTGGGACGTTAAACTCCATATATCAATCAATTAAGCCGCATTGTATTATTGATGTCTTAGTTATCCAAATCCACCCAGCGATGAATTTGGGAACATTGATTGATTTACTTCTTAAAATAAACTCGGGGAAAGCTGCGTGGACGTCCACTCCTGGGCTAGAGTGGTTCAGTCTTTTTGCAAGGGCAATATGAATGGGCTAAGCAGCATAACGCATAACACAGAAGCAAAATGAGTGAAATACAACACATTACTCATAAATGCATGGTTGTGTTAAAAGTTTCATTGTTCCCGCATTGGTCCACCCCCCCTCCTCCCATTCGGTAAAGTAATCCTGGCGCTGCCCCTGGGTAGGGGCGAGGACACTTTTATTTATTGCGACAGACTTGACCTTAAGGCATAATATTTTGTGCGTGTATGTAAATTAAACGTGCGCCGTTAGGCCTGCGTTGTGTATGAAGTGGAGTAATGTCTTGTGGGATGAGTTGTCATGTGTCCAGCGGTCGTAACTGGTTGGCCTCCCCGTTACCATAGGCTCGTGTGCTCAGATTCGGGCGCACGTTAAAAAACTCCTGGTTGTCGAAAATTTCCGGAGCACTCCACTACGGCGTCTCTCGTAATCATGTGGCGGTTTTGGAACGTTAAACCCCACGTATCAATCAATCAATCAACCAATCCCCGTTTCCATATACCCTTCGCGCGCTTTTACTATGCCTGCATGCAAAGCGCGCGGACGTAGAAAACCACGCGTACCGTTTCGCCGTTCCAGTGCAGCAGCGTCTCCTTCTGGTCGAGCGTCGTGGGCGGACGCTCGGCGGGGAAGCATCGGTGCACGTACGCGTGCGTCAGGCACGACTTGCCGACGTCGCTGTCGCCCGCCGCGACCAGAGTCACGCGCACGATGCCGCTCTTGCCCATGCGGGCGATGCGAGAAAGCACGGGCAGTTCTCCTGCGCTCACCGGGAGCGCAGCAGTACGTCCATGGGCAGCCACCTCCTTCCTGTTACTCAGCAGTCCGTATAGTTATGGGAGTCCATCGAACTCGGTCTTCCGGCTGGATGTCGCTGGTCCGTTGTGTGTTCCGTGGCTGCGGTACAGAGAAGAGTTATAACTTGGCGAATATACCTTTTTCATAACTGGAAAGCTAGCTTCCCTGCTATGCGGCTAGCCTGCAAGCAGCGTATTCGAGCGGAGTTAGCTTGCGCTATGATGCAGGCTTGGCCATCTTTACATTAGCATGCATAGTGGAATAGCCCTAACTGGCAGGTGCCACCGTTAGTTGGGCGAATATGCAGCACGGGAAGCGCACTTGCGGATTATGAAAGTGGTCCATAGCAGAACAAGAAACATGAAGTAAAGTGTGCGATTGGGCTAGTTGGTAATCCATTATTAAACTTCTCAGCGCAAAAACTTCCGACAACTCGTCCTCGTCTCTTGCGTTAGTTGTCGGAAGTTTTTGCGCAGAGAAGTTTAACAAAAAACATGCACAGAAAAAATTGCGGCGGATTTCCCAAACTGAGATTGTTGCACTGACGTACCCCCCCCCCCCCCCCTTTTTTTTTGGGAGGGGGAGGGGGGTTGAATCAACGAACATATGTGCACATTTGTGCGTGGGTGGAGGATGTGTTACCCCCTCCCCCCGTACGCCGGTTACGCCAGTGCATTGTTGTATCGTGGTCGAACATGTGTTTTTCATGGGTGTTAAATGACCTTCGAAGTGTGGGTATGTATGGGTTGTTGCAAAGAGTGAAAAGCCAGCGTTGTTTGAAACCATTAGTCAATGCCGGCATTAGGCGATCAAGTAGACCAAAAGCGTTACTCGGACTACACGCTTTTAAAGATAAATATGAAATTGTAAGAAAGTGCCTCCGCCACCCCTCAGCATGTCGTAATTGCCTGCAATGAGAGGGAGTCCTTCAGAAACCGATCCTACAAAAATTAGCTGCCAACAACAACAACAACAAAAAAAAAGCGGAATGCATATTGACGACTCACAACACAAGCAGCACAAAGGCAACGTGTTAAAATTGCGGCAATTGTGGCATGGATGCAGGGGCGTAACCATAATTTTTTTTTTTGGCTGTGGGAGGGGGGATGCGTTTGTATGTGTGTGAGTGTGGATCCTACGCAAGCAAAATTGAAACATTGTGCCCCCCCCCCCTTCCTTGGCTACGCCACTCCATAGTCGCACCTCCGATGACAAGCCACGCCGACGTTTCAACTCTGCGTGAGAGACTTGGAATCTCGGAGGCCTCACTTTTGCTACTTACAAGAGAAAAACAGTCACAGGTATACAATATGGTACCATCCAACTGCAAATACACATCTCGAATGCCATTCTTTTGCTCACGGAAACCTGAAAAATCGTCAGGTCAGTGCACTTTAACAACACCACACGGTGAAAATTTCTGCAGTTTCTGCGGCGTGTTCCAAGGGCGTAGGCAGACTTTGTTTTTTTTTTCTCGGAGGAGGCAGGAAGGAGGGGTTCTGTAATGCCTTATGTCCTATCAGCGTCAAATGAAACCCGAACAACGACCAGTCTTGGCGATCGTATAGTGCTTGCCGTCCACTTGATCACCATGGACAGGCCGGCATATATGCGCGAAGCTGCAGAAACAAGGATGCGCGCGTCTGTCAATGGGGATAACTAGACGGTGCTTGCGAAGGCTTGCCGCTCTTCAGCTTTCATTTGACGCGGAATGGTACGCTTGTATACGTGCTTGCATGTATGCGAACCGTGTTCCAAAAGCCCGGTGATTTCATGATTCGAAAATATTTATTCCGACTTAACTCGAGCAATAATAAGAATTAAATAAACGGGTGTCCTCCGCTGATTTATTGTCAATGCACACTGAGGACGCTACCCGCATGGGTGGCAAAACGTCCGCGTAATTTCGGTAAAGTTGTGTCAAGTAGGAATAAATCTTTAGAATGGTATATATGCGCATGTAAAAAAAAAAAAAAAACCTTTTTACGGGGCAGGAAGGTCTGAAACCCCCCGTCTCCGAACTATACGATAGTGGCGTGTCTCACGAGTCATATCGTTTTTTTTTTTTTTGCCTCTGAAAACCTGGATATTGTAGCGGAAGCTACACTAGTCGAGATTAATTGAGCTGTTTCGCCTGGCTTATCGAGATACGCTCTGCGCATGTCCGAGCGGTGACGTCACACAGTGCATATTGGTGCCCCGTAGGCCTGGAAGCCCCCTGAGTGACGTGTCACTAACCCCCGTAATCTAGAACGCCCCTTCACTCAACGCTGCACCTTCACTTGAGAAAGCCGATCGCGAGCGCCATCTCTCGGCAGGCGAAGTCACTGCATATATGCAATAATTTGCTGCTATTCTTGAGTAGCGCAGCGTCATTTTCAGCCGAGCGGCGGCGCAGTGGGCTCAACTCTGTCAAGTGAAGGGTGGAAGTCGAGTCAAGGAGCGTTTGTGAATACGGGGGTAATTAATTGTCTGACGCTTGACTCGCGCGAGATCACTCGCCAGTCCGTGCATCCGTCCGTCCGTGCGTGCGTCCGTCCGCTCCTCAAGTTACGTACATTCTAACCTAGCCGAGCTAAGCCACTGCTAGGTTTCTTTATTACACAATGCTTTAAGGCTGAAACGTTCTAATTCGAGCGATGGTGACGACGGAAGCTCGTGACACACGCCCGGTGATGTTGTTTACGGCACATGTACGTTTCGCATGCGTCGCCCGTTGAGTCAGGCACATCCTGCGTACGAAATGCTGGCTATTACACGCATCCGTGCACTTCGCAAGCTCGCTGCTTCGAGGCAACGTCTTGAAAACACCACTGAGAGACTCCGTAGTTGAGCGCTCCGGAGAAGTTCGGTAACGCGGAATTATTTATAGGGGTGACAAAGCGAAACGATATAAGCTATGGTTTAGACTGACAAACTATGCTGCAAGAACTGTAGTGTCGTTAATGTCACCACCGTGAGTAATTTTAATAGATGCAAAATAATTAATGTCTGGAAGTTTCACTTAAATGTTCCGCCCTGGTGGTCTAGTGGCTATGGTGCTCAGCTGCCATCGCGAAAATCACTGGATCGAATTCCGGCAGCGGCGACTGCATTTTCGATGGAGGCGAAAAATGTCCCGTGTACTTTGAATTGCGCGCAAGAACCTCAGGTGATCCGAATTTCCGGATCCCTCCACTACGGTGTCTCTCGGAATCATATCGCGGCTTTGAGACGTTGAACCCCAGATATTATTAGTCATCCATGATACAATTGAGATAAATTCTAGCATATTTTTATTGCAGGGAAAAGAGCGCGTCTTGACGTACGCGTTTCGCCCCCCCCCCCTCTTTTACGTATAGACGGAATGTCGCTTATCACCTGCAGTGTTATGACATCCGACCGCAGCATGGCCTCCGAGATTCAAGGCGCGCGGGCTCGCAATCTCGGAGGCCATGCACCGCAGGCACGCGCTTCGTGCGTCTGCAATATGCCCGTCGCGCTCTGCCTGAAGGTCAGACGCACTGGTGACCGAAAAACCTTGGCGTGAAAGGTTTCGCGGCTTACAGAGGTACGGGGCCAAGATGCGAGGCTGGAAACAAGAAAACGTACACAGGAAAAATAATTACAAAGTGCCTGTAACGTAAACTCACCTTGAGGCGTTCGCGCTGTTTTTTCTGGTACGAACAGGCCTTCCGTCTACACAGCAAAAAGACACCGACGCAGTTGCTCTGACTGCGAACAAGTGCTGTCAGCTGTCACCTCGGACTCCCCTTCCGCGCTCGCTTCTTTTGCGTGAGCGTGCGTCATCGGTACACACACACGCACTCCCCCTCGATCGGCGGCTCGTTTCAGATGAACGTTCCTCGAGGGAGTCTTCCGAGTGGACGGGTGTGAAAACAACAGGGACACGCTCGGCCGCGTACCAAGAGCTACAGCGAAAGCATGGGCTCCTTGGCTAAACTGGCTTGACTGACCACTGCATAGCACACGAAGACAAGCTTATCGACGTCCGATCAGGATACGACAATCGGACCCCCTCCTGTGCTTCGCACGATTACGAGCAAACGCGATAAGGCTCGCCGCATGTGTCGCGTGTGTGCTTTCACTGTCAGAAGGGTCCCATGAGTCATGACAATCGATGTTCGTTTTGTGATCTTTATATTGCGTTGTGGAAAATGTCATCCGAGTATAAGCGATCGCTGCGTGGTATACTGTGGGGCAAGTGCTCTATCTTTTTTCTTTTCTTAAAAAATTAAATAAAGTGCTATTCTTGTTTCGTGGATTCACAGAAGCGTGAGTGTCGTTTGCCAGAACGTATTATTTACGGCGCTTGCTCAAGAACGTAGCTTTTTTTTAGTGGTTCAGTGGTTCACATGATTTGCAGGCTAAATTGAGTGAAAAGAAGCATACGCTACGAAGCTTTCCATCCCGCCCTATTTATCGATCTGTCTATCTTATTCCTCCATCGACGTATTTCTGGTCTCTTGCAAAGGTATCAGTAGTAAAAGCTCGTCTCATGTGTATGTGTAGTGTACTTACATTGAACGCGATATGACATTGCTCAAGCACCAATCTTTGCTGCAGGACCAATCAATCACGAGTCGAAGATCTGTGTAAACGAATCGAAGAATACCAAACAGTTTCTTTTTTTCGAATAGTACCCAGGGGTGGCGCAAAAAGAGGGCACGGGGGGTAGGGGTCGCCCCCTTTTTCCTCTCCAAATTTTCGCCTGCTCACTTCCCTTTCCACCAGGAGTCACTCTGTCACGTAGTAAACGCACGCACACACACCGCATACACCCCCCCTCTCCCCAACCACACACACACCACGTACATTTCCCACCTCCTTGCCCCCCCCCCCCCCCCCCCGAAGGAACTCACTTGTCACGCGCCACGGTGGTCGAGTGGTAACATGCCACGCTCGCCTACTGACCCGCATGTCGCAGGATCGAATCGCGGCCGCATTTTCGATAGACGAAAATGCTGGAGGCCCCTGTCCTGAGATGTAGGGGCACGTTAAGTGAACGCCAGAGGTCGAAATTTCAGGAGCCCTCGACTACGGCACCTTTCATAAATCATATCGTGCTTTCGAGACGTTAAAGCCCAACAGTTAGGATGACCGCACTTGTCGTGCCCCCCCCCCCCCCCCCCGCAACCTCCCCACAGCACAGAAACCCTGGCGCTGTACTTAATAGTACCATCACTAAAAAAAAAAAAGACTATGTTTAGGTCATAGCAATATAAGCAGTGTATGCACAACGTTAGGATGTTGCGGCAATTACGTCAATATTTTTGAAGCATTGTTCTGAGCATCGTTGTCTTCCAAGCAACCCCGTCGGGTTCTCGCCACGTCCCATGGCTAATAGCAAGCGCTGAAAAAGACAAATAACCTGTCTTTTGGGACAACACTTTCTAGCGAGCGAGCACAAAGGCTTGCACAAGCGGTATTGAAAGTGCACGATATTAAGTTTTTTTTTTTAATAGTTCCCACCGCTGTGCAATTCGTGTGTGACACTGCGGTGTATTCAATGAAGTCAGAATGAGCACACGACATTCGTCTACACGTCTGGCTTCATCATTATGGGTCAGCAGCTTAATATCGCTATTTTGAAATATTTTTCACTGCTCTGCAATATTCACACAGTATTTTATTGTCTCCGAAGTTTATACGAGGATAATTCGTGAGAAAAAGCGGTACCGTGATGAGTGAGAAATTGCTTGTGCGCGCATGAGCGAATCACATTTCGCAGGACTAACGAATTGTCAAGACGGAAGGGAATATTTCTTTATTGAACAGCTTTTGATTTGGGCATTGTTTTGAATGACGCAGTAACACGATGCTGGGCTAACTGCCCTGGCAGGGACGGTGACGGACGTAAATGTTCATGCTTGACAATGACTTGCTCTTTTGTGTTTCATGCTACAGCACGCAACACCGGCGCTGCTTCTTTCCTCCTGGCTGAAAAAAGAAAGAAAGGAAAGTATAGCTACGAGATAATAATGATGATGATACGGCAGTGCTAAAATGAAACCTAAGTACACTTTTTAAAATCTTAACAATATTTGCCTTTTGGTAGAGATGACTTGCTGCTCACGGTCAATGTCGACCTCACTCACTCATTCATGCAGCCTTGATTGATTGATTTGTGGGGTTTAACGTCCCAAAACCACCATATGATTATGAGAGACGCCATAGTGGAGGGCTCCGGAAATTTCGACCACCTGGGGTTCTTTAACGTGCACCCAAATCTGAGCACACGGGCCTACAACATTTCCGCCTCCATCGGAAATGCAGCCGCCGCAGCCGGGATTCGAACCCGCCGCCTGCGGGTCAGCAGCCGAGTACCTTAGCCACTAGACCACCACGGCGGGGCACTCATGCAGCCTTTCTGTTGTTAATCGGTGTTTGTTCTGATCTCTTATGTGTCCGCGTCTGCAGGCCAACTTGTTTTATCAATCAATCAATCAATCAATCAATCAATCAATCAATCAATCCTATCCGTAAACTAACCACTAAAGACAGTATAATATGTACAGTAGCGTCCAATATGAATTGCAACATGCTGCCCGTGGTCAAAACGGTGCCAACACAGCACTGTTGCAGCGTGAACTTATTTACAGCGCAACACCAGAAAAACACAGTGCATGCAGGGAAGGAGGAAAAGAGAAAAAAAAGACGGAGCCGCCGTTCTTTTCTCTTTTTCTCCTTCCCTGTCCTGTGTTTTTCTGGTGTAGCGCTGTAAATAAGTTCACGATGAATCCTAACCAACTGGCCCAAGTCACCGTCTTACTGCACTGTTGCACCAACATAGCAATCAGTGACGTAAACACTGCAATAGCGGCATCTCCAAGAGCAGTGTCACGTTTGCCGGTGTTACAGGCAGGGGCGGCGCCAGGATGTTTTTACTGGGGGGGGGGGGGGGGGCAACCACGAAAAGTGAGTTCCTCCGGGGGGGCAAGCTAGCTCTGCTCCTACTAGGTTTTCAATATATGCTTCCGGGCACTTGGGTGGGCATAGGGGGGGCAGGCGAGAATTTTGGGGGGGCTCCAGCCCACCCTTGCCCCCCTCTGGCGCCGCCCCTGGTTACAGGGTAGGCTCGGCGTCCCTTCAGCCACGGCCACCGTGTCGCAACCAAGAAGGTTATAAAAAAAAAAAAAAAACTGAGCGCCACTGCACGTGTACCGACCTGCTGCTGTAGCGACGCCTTGATGGCCGCGTCGAAGACCTCCCTGACGCCGATCTTCTTGAGCGCCGAGCACTCGACGTAGGCCGCCGCCCTGATGCGACTGGCCACGGCTCGCGCCTCGGACGAAGTCACGGGAGGCTTGTAGTTGCGCGGGAGAACCAGCGGCGGCCGGTAGTCGTCGCGGATGTCCTGCGAATCGCCGCCGGGTTATTACAGAGTCGAGAGTTACCACGGCAGTGCGAGAGATTTTTCGTCCGGGGGGGGGGGGGGGAGAAGGAGGAGGAAAAAACCTTTATTGATGCTGGCTGTGCCAGATAGCCCTCATCTCCACCGGGCTGGTTGACATCCCTAGTCCGGGACGTCATTAGTCGAGGCCGCCACTCGAGCCCGCTGGACTAGAGTTCGCTGTTCCTCTAGTGTGGAGCTATTGAGTAGGGTCGTCTCCCAGTCCTCTTTGGTGGGGTTGGGAAAGGGGGTTAATTTTGGGTTCATTTGGCAGCCCAGACCATATGGTAAGTGTTGGCCACTTCCCCCCAGTACTGGCACTGCCCACTTGTTTTTGGGTGGTGGGGGTCTTAAAGCCAGCCTCCATACATTGACATTAATAGGAAGAGGGGGGGGGGGGGAAGGCGAGAGAGGGGCAAAAGTCAGCCCCATACATGTACATGGTAGGAAGGGGGGTGGTGCGACGAACCTTCCCCCCCCCCCAACTCCCCCTAAAGGAGAACCTTGGGTGCGCTTACAGACAAAAGTGATCTATGGACGTCGACAAGAAGGGTACAAAATGCCGATGACGTCAACAAGACGCCCCACGTTTACTAAAGCACTTCAAGTGGAAGCTAAAAGTAATAGAGATTAATTAAAAAGTAATCAAAGGTGCTTTGAAAAGTACCAACCTGGACTTTCGAAGGTGAGTTTACTCTGCCATTTAGATCTGCTGTAAGCGGAGGCGGTTCTGCACGAGTGCTGGGCTCGGCGAATTCTGATATAGGATATTTTATTTTGACATCGAAGTTCATTTTCGCATGGCACACCAACTTACATCAACATCATAAGCGTGTGCAGGGTTACCTTCTACGGGGAGGGGGGGTGGCAGCAAAGGTACTTCGCTGCGCCTCCTTCACTATTAATAGGGGGCAAACTTTATGCCCCCCCCCCGCCCAATAAGTGCAAGGGGGACTCGCTCCCGCCTCCCCCCCCCCCCCCCGTGCGCGTGCCTATATTCAACACTGTCGTGGCATCAAGCTTACACTTCACGTCCTAGTATGACTCAATGCGATGAAATTGCGATGACTTCAAGTACCGAAGCATTCAAAATGGGCACTTGTGCGCCACTAACGAAGACACGAGGTGAAGCGGCCGTGTAAAGTTCATACCGAAACCAACTTTTGAAATCATAATCCAATGAACGTTTCAGGTATAGCACTCGCGCATACCAGGACATTTTCTATGCTCTTGGTGGTTTGGCTCTCGTTTGGCGCAAGAAGAGGTGGGAACTGAAAATTTTGGTGTCGGTACGCTTTTAGACTTTCCACTCAGTCTGGTCAACACTTGCTTGTCGCTCATTTCGGTATCGACGCTTTGTGAAGAAAATTATTAGTAATAATGGTGCTAAACAGGGACAATCGGGGACGTCTGGACTACTTGAATTTGCAGCCTTAATTGCACATTAGCAACTCAATTCCCTCATACAGTGACGGTTACTTGTGAGCGCTGACGAGAGAGTTGGTGCAGGTATGAATGAAATTTCTTATTTGTGTGCCCAATTGGCACTCAGGTTCCTCCCGATTCGAGGTAGTACAATACTATAGATCACACATACATGTAATAATGAAAATTTCTTGTTGTATAGATAGGCCTTAAGTAATAATTCTCAATTTGGACCGGAACCGCTATTTACAAAAATTTTACATAGTTTCTCACACTCTTCAGAAAACATTGCAATGAAAAGGGTGCCCTCGATTTGCTTATCTTATGAACTATTTCATTAAGATTGCACAGGAAACCACCTGTGTATGAGAAAAAAAGCTAATAAAAGATCAATAAATAAATAAATGAATGAATCGAATCAAGAAATAATGTCGGAAAAAAATTCGTGAGCAAGAAATACGATCCGGAGATTTTAATAAGTAATAGACAGAGAAAGATCGAGTCAAACTGATGCCCGAACCGTGGGGTAAAAAAAAAAAAAAAAAACACAGTGGAGGTGCTGGGTATCGATCCCAGTACCTCTCGCATGCTAAGCGAGCGCTCTACCATCTGAGCTACACCCCCGTACGAAATGCGCGATCAGTTATCAGCATTTGAACCGTCTAAATGAGAACAAACGGGTGAGAGTTCTTGCTTTCTCTCTCTCTCTCTCTCTCTGTCTCTCTCTCACAATCCAGTTTTCCAGATCACGGCAGCGAAAGACCGGTCGCCCAGTGCGTACGGCGCAGTGAAGAAATCACACGGTTCCTTTTGAGTGTTGTCTAAGACGACTCGAAGTTAAAAATCAATATCATCGCAGTCCATTGTATTTGTGTTCGCAATCGAATGATGAATGGAATATCTAATACTTTTTTTTTTTACGATTCGACAATAAATGAAACCATAACAGTTGTGCACGGTTAGCTTGGTGGCAAAAACAACAACAACAACTTACTTGCGGTATTTAATACACATGTGTTATAAAGGGAATAAAGAATGTCCAGCGTGGGCGGATCTATAAATTTTCTTCTGGTGCAGCGTGCAGGGAAAAGGGTCCAGTTTTCCTCTATCTATGTTTGAGCGCTTGTTTGTATGCGTACCCGTATATATATATACATAGAATCTCTCTTCGTCCCCCTCCCCAATCAGCCCCTGTGTATCCCGCTGACATCCGCACAGCTAATTATAAGAAGCTTGTACGTCAAGAACAATTTCACTTACTGACAATGAAATATGATCGCACGAAACATGCAATCACTTGTCCGCAGAATGTAATGTTTGATATTTGTGTCGCGTTCTAACGTGAAACTCAATCAATCAATCAATCGATCGATCAATAAATGAATTAAGTAATCAATCAATCATGCTACAAATGCAGTTGTTCAGACAAATGATATCTGTCACAAACATTATTGTCAGCACTGTATGCAAAAAAAAAAAGAACGGAAGAGGAGAAAAAAAAAATGTCAGTGGAGGTGCTGGGTATCGATCCCAGTACCTCTCGCATGCTAAGCGAGCGCTCTACCATCTGAGCTACACCCCCGACGAAGGGCACGATTAGTTCTAACGGTACTTCAACCGCTTTAATGAGAACAAACGGGGGAGGGCTAGCTTGCATTCTGTCTCTCACAATCCAGTTTTCTAGACCACGGAAGCGAAAGACCGGTAGCCTTGCGCGTACGGCGCCGTTAACGATTTATTTATTTATTTTATTTATTAGAATACCCTCAGGGCCCGTAGGGCATTACAGAGGGGGTGGGTACAACATTTTATAACACACAAAGGAATAAGGACAAGAAAAAAAGACGAAGAAAAGAAACAAGTGTCAGATGCGCAAATCACGAAGGTAACATAAATCAACTAAAAATGTATAAGTAAGAATTCAAGCACATACAAGACAAAGATAATGGAAACTGCGTATAGTTACAAACATTGCTGAGAAATTGCAGTCTTGAATAACAAAGGGTCTGTTATTGTTACAACGGAAGAAGGAAGATTAACATGGTTTCATGTGAATTTTGCCAAAGCCGCGTTGAACGTAAAAGCGATCTTCTTTTTTTTTTTAAATTTCAGTTGAGTGTATTATAGTCCACTATCGAATGACGAATGTAATAATTAATACTTTCTCGTAATTACAAAACGAATTGAACCCTATACCGGTAGGGCATGGTTTTGCTGGGTGACAAAAAAACAGCTTATCTACGTTGTTTCATACAAGAGTGTTATACAGTGAACAACAACAATAGAACACTCAGCACGGTCGTATTTAGAATTTTTTTTCCAGTGGATGGGGCTTGGGGGAGGGGGAGGTCGAGTTTTACTGTTTGTATGTTCGTGCGTGTATTTGTATGTGCCCGTATGTACATAAGAGCTGCAAAACGGGGGCCCAAACTAGCGCCTTGCTATGCCGCTGACATCCAGTCAGCTAAAGCGCTCGTAAGTCGTAAACTTCACTCAGTGACATCAAAATATGACACGAGACGTGTCACCATTTTTCCGCCAAATGCAGTGTCCCTCATAAAGTGTCGCGTTGTAAGGTTAAACTCAATCAATCAATCAATCGACCAATCAATCAATCAATAATAAATATTAACAAATGAAGCTGTTCATAGAAATGATACATGTCAAAAACGTTCCTGTCATCACCGTTTACAAAAAAGAAATGATATATAACGCGTTTTACAAAACAAGAAAAAAAAAAGACGAATGGAGGTGCTGGGTATCGATCCCAGTACCTCTCGCATGCTAAGCGAGCGCTCTACCATCTGAGCTACACCCCCGACGGAGGACGCGATCAGTTCTAACTGTATTTGAACGGCTTAATTAAATGAGAACAAACAGGTGAGAGTTCTTGCATTCTCTCTCTCAATCCGGTTGCCTAGATCACGGAAGCGAAAAACCGGTCACTCAGCGCGTCGGATTAAGATCGGGATTACGAAGTTGTAAGGTAGCTGGCGGATCTAGCTTTGCATAATTAGCAGGCAATTTCCCCGCCCGGTTTTCTTCTGGCTAATTGTAACTAATCTACATTTGTTCGTTTGTTTGTTTTTTAACGAAGCACGAGTAGGCTCTTGAAAAGCTGCGCTCAGCGCGACGAAAGCCTGCATAAGCCGGCGGCCAATGTGCTATTCCACGCGCAGGATTGTGCCGTTACCTCTATATCACTGCACCGTACTCCGAACATAATAGTCGCTCATCACCAGTCACATGCGAGGTAGGTAGCAATCAAACATTTCAAGAGAAGTCGCGACACCTGCTTCCTGAAGATCCAGTGACCAAGCGAAAAAACAATATGATTTATATCAGTCACGCTGTCGCTTGGCGAGCCTAAATGTTGCAGTTCCTCAAATAAACCTTGCCGTTCGTTTTTAAGCTCACGACACTTGAGCAAATAGTGTCCCCTGTCACCACTTTCCGTGCAATTCTTAGCGCGCACAGCGTGCAGAGAACCATTCCCTTTCCAAACGACTGCATTGATTTTTCTCTTTATTTCTTTCTCTCTCTCTTTTTTTTCCTGGCCACTTTTTTGTGCCTCATTTTTCCTGTCTTTCTCTATCCGCCTGTTTAATACTTTCAGCGTCTTTCTACTTTTATCTGTCTTTGTTTCTCTGAGTCTCTCCTTTCTTTTCCCCCTGTAGGCGCTTACTCGACTATCACTATTATAACATCCCACGCTGGTCCAATCGGCGTACGTGTTCTGGGAGCGAAGTAGAAGAGGAAGAAGAGGACGAAAAAGCAGACGTATCGTTTCATGATGATGATAGTGTTCTGTCACACTGCGGGACTAACGGTCAGCTTGAAAAGCTCCGCTGCTGAAAAAGATATTGCGCCACAGATACGCCATGTGTCCAAAGGATACAAATCAGGGGCGTAGCCAGGAGGTGGCACACCAAACTCGTGCCCCCCACCCCCACCTCTTCCGAATTTTTCGCCATGGCGAGAAAATGATCACTTCAAGGGGGTGACACCCCCTGAAATAAAAAGTGCCCCCTGAAATAAAAAATCCCCCCCCCCCCCCGAAATAAAAAGTGCCCCCTGGAATAAAAAGTGCCCCCTGATATAAAAAAGTACCCCCCCCCCCCCCAACTCCAGAAGATTTCTGGCTACGCCTCCCATACAAGAAGACACGTCCCTGTTGTGCTTTAACATGGATTCGTACCTTCTTGTTTCCGACGAGCACGATGGGCACCTTCGGAAGGTAGTGACGGATCTCGGGCTCCCACTTGAACTCCACGTTGGTGAGGCTGTCGGGGTTGTCGATCGTGAAGCACATCAGCACCACGTTGGCCTGTCCGTACGAGAGGGGCCGCAGGCGGTCGTAGTCCTCTTCCCCAGCCGTGTCCCAAAGGGAGAGTCGAACCTGCGACCACGAGGAGTTAGCGCAGAGAGATCCGTGACCTGTGACACTGCTTTCGCGGTAGAATTTCCTAGATTTTATTCCAGGGAACTGTGGTGCTGCGAGCGTTCAGCCATAATAGGAATGGTGGGTAGCATAGGTGAGCAAACAGTGGGGCGTAGGGAGTAAAGAGGGGGTGACAAAGGAAGCGCAGCGCACGCCCCACCCATACATTGGCATAATAGGGAGTGGGGGGTGGGGGGTCTGCGACTTGGGGCGGGGGGGGGCATAAATTAAGCCACATGCATGGATATAATAGGCTGGGAGGTGCTCCGACGAACCTAGAATCGCCCGCCTGTGATGGGTAGTACACGGATTCGACTATAGTCTTCGCGCTTGCAGCTTCGAATGTACATACTTGTGGCTTTGTCGTGGTGCTTTCGTTTCGGATAAAACAATGGCTCGTTGCGAGCATCGCGAGCCGATTTGAGATGGCAAACTTAAAGAGAGTCAAGTGGTTGAAGTGGGATGGATGAATTTAAAGAAAATAATTATCCGTATTAAACTTTTATAAATCACGCGGAAAATTAACACCGGAGTTCGAGCAAATGCATGCACCACCCATCACTACCCTGCTAGCTAGGGGAAATGTCTAGCGCCGCAGCTATTTTCTAGAGTGTTTCATGATTCCATATTGATCTTGTTATTGTTTTGATTACTTGTTCCGTGTGTACTGTGCTGTTTTGGAATAGCCATTAGTTGTGGCGAAGTTTCCCATTTTTTTACCAATCTATAAAAATGAAACAAACGAAGACTGCGTTGTTTAATGTGGCTGTGAGCCGTTTTTAGATTACAACAATTTAGACAACAGTTATATGCTTACTACTACATCAGCAGCAACAAAAACAAAAAAAAAACACTGTTGTACCAGTATAATTGAGCTGTACCAATGTACCAAAGAAGGGTGTGCCTCTCCCTTTCATCCCTCTTGCGCGCGCATACATGCGTAGACGTGGGCAAGAAAGAAAGGGTAGCGGGGGAGGGGGTGGCTGCCTCCTTTATTATCTAAAGAGGAGTGGGGGTGTGCCGATTGTGCCCCATACCTTTACTGAGTCTGGTCTTTCATGTCATTTTTTCGCAGTGTTATGGTAACGTATGTGTTTCCCGAACCGAGGACCTTCGCGCGGGAAGCACATGCTCTATCACACAGCCACTCCGTCTGCTTGTACAACAACCTCGGAAGAGAACATCGCTTCGAGATTATGAGATAAACAGCAGTGCACATGAAGTTCTAAAAAGAATGCGTTTACTGGGGACAGGTCTAGTAACTGCGGAGCCGAACCCCGAGGTGATAGTATACTATAAGAATAAGGATGGGGTAGAGTACATTCGGCAAGCATTTTCGAATCATGAATAGAAGATTCCATCCATCCCTCAAGAGGAAGGTATATAACAGCTGCATCTTACCGGTACTTACCTACGGAGCAGAAACCCGTAGGGTTACAAAGAGGGTTCAACTTAAGTTGAGGACAACACAGAGAGCAATGGAAAATGAAAATGATAGGTGTAACTCTAAGGGACAAGAAGAGAGCGCAATGCGTCAGGGAACGAACTTGCGTTAAGGACATCATAGTCGAAATCAAGAAGAAATTCTCATTAGCAGGGCATGTCGCGCGAAGACAAGATAACCGCTGGTCATAAAGAATCACAGATTGAATTCTAAGAGAAGGCAGGTGGGTGAGGAGGAGAAATAAAGTTAGGTGGGCAGATGAGATCAGGAAGTTTGTGGGTATGAAGTGGCAGCAGCAAGCACAGGACCGAGTTGACTGGCGGAACATGTGAGAGGTCTTTGTCCTGCAGTAGACGTAGTCAGGCTGATTATGTTGTTGATGATGATGGCAACGATGTGTTTCACGACAATGGCGACCTATCAATCGAGGATGTTGCGTTCAAGGAACTGTTTACGTCCTACGTACCTTTACTCGGAAAGCTAGGGGCCAGGCCCCGCCACGGTGGTCTAGTGGCTAAGGTACTCGGCTGCTGACCCGCAGGTCGCGGGTTCGTATCCCGGCTGTGGCGGCTGCATTTCCGATGGAGGCGGAAATGTTGTAGGCCCGTGTACTCAGATTTGGGTGCACGTTAAAGAACCCCAGGTGGTCTAAATTTCCGGAGCCCTCCACTACGGCGTCTCTCATAATCATATGGTAGTTTTGGGACGTTAAACCCCACATATCAGAAAGCTAGGGGCCAATGGTAGACCTTTGCGCAAAGCACGTCATCGCCTCGTTTTAATTTTTCCCATCCATTGTGGAGCACGTGTTCACGTTGTCTTTTGTTGTGGACCAACCGGTGGGAAGACGGGTGGAACTAGGCGCTAGGACATTTCGCCCTTCACATTTTGATTCATGAACACGGTGTAGAAGCACGTTAACGAGTGCCACATGATGGTAAGCCACATGTCATTGGTTTCATTAAGTTGCGGTCAACGACTTCTCTTTAAACCCTTGGTTCTTGTTACAGACTACGTGAAACTCCATGTGCAAGTTTACCCTCTGATGGTTGGACTCGACGAACTTGCTGTACGTCTCGAAAACCGTCGGCACGTAGACGTCCGGGAAACTGTCGCTGCAGTACGTAACCAGGAGACAAGTCTTGCCGCAGTTACCGTCTCCCACGACGACCAGCTTCCGGTCGATGGGGGCGCCGTCTTTCCCGGTCATCATGCACTTCCGGCTCCGCGCGAAACACCTTTCTGAGGCACACACACAACTCCCAAGTTCGGCGAACTCCACAGACATACACTGTCGGCCGATGAACTTCCCCAGTGCCGTAATCTGAGGGATTCGGCAGGTGGTGCGCGCGATGACCGGTTAAGACGAAGGAGCGGCGGACGGCGTCTTGTTCGGAGGAACGGTTGCTGCAATCCGTCAGTTGTTCCCGGATCGTACGTCGCCCCTGGTGATACGTCCGCCGAGAAGTGCGAGAGACGGGGTGTGGTTGTTCATCTCGAGGAAGCGTGCGCACGGAAAGACTTTGAAGAACTCTTTCGCGGCGTAAAGAAGCTGCGAAGTTTCACCGATCAGAGATGCAGCGACGAGAGTTCCGACGAGAGTTCCGACGACTACGGCTGTCTGCCCGGATGCATTGTGGTCACTTGCGAGCACCGACGGTGTTAGCGGCGTCTCAATTTCCTCTGTTTACATGGCGCCTGCTGCAGCGACGCGAGTTTCCGTTCGTTTCCGCTGATAGAGAATGAAGAAACCGAGGTTCCTTAGTGGAAGGCAAGGACGCCGCCGAGCCGATCACGTGTTTCCTCTGGCAAATGAAGAATACGCCGCTCGAACGCACGGATCATTTATTCGTGAATTTCTAGTGTTCCGCACTCTCTTCAACCAATGTTTCTAAGACGAAGGCCTTACATGCCTGATAAAACGGGTAATGTGATCGTTGCCGTAGTCGCCGTCAACACAAATGTTTCCTAAAATAATGGTGATGACATTCGAGACGTCGATGTTGACTGTGACGATGATGACAAGTTACATATAAATCATAGTAGGTGATTATTAATGATTCGTCACCGATGATAAAATTAGCATAATTATGAAAACCAGATAGCCATGAGTGTTGGCATAGGGGGGTGCTAAAGAGGCACTTGCCCACCCCCCATCCAAGCTACACCAGTGCTTGGAAGGCACAGCTGTGCCAGTTGTCACGTGATTATAGAGGCTGGTGGCGAGCTTTGGGCTGGGCGGAGCCTATACGTGCCGCGACGTCTCTACAAGCGCCTCAAAATGACGACGGCTTCTACTCCGGCTTACAAACATAGAATATGTTTATAAAACTCCAGCCGAAACCCACACCCCTCTTTTGTGTATGTGACAGAGTGGTGGAGGGGCTGGGGTGTTGCAACGTTGTCTCAACTGTTCGATATATAATGGTGGTGAAATCCCCTTGTAGCACCAATACCTTGAATGAGTGGTTCGAGACACCCATGCAAGAGTTGGTAGGTAGAGGGTTTGAGCCTCGGCACAAGGTAGCATTCTAGCCAGCATGTAGTCTAGACGCATGCTCCTGGTTGTTTCGCCGAGGAACTGGTGCCGACTATACCGGTGGGACTTGTCAAGCATTCGGCCCACGGCGGTGAAACGCTTCAAGTGTTGTCAGTTCAAGGTGGCAAAGCTGTGGCGTAATTTCGCCGTCGCACGGCCGTAACCCGGCAGCTGTCCGGTCGACATTTGCTGGGGTCGTGGGAGTGGAAGTGGTGGAATTGAAGTCCCACATTGATGTTCCTTGCGTATTTTTTTTTCGCACATGGAATAATGGCTGCCCCTTGTCAGCTCTATATAATGATACATCTGTGGGGGACTACTCCGTAGCAAGAACTCAAAGTGGGGGAGGGGCAAAGAGGAGTGGGGTGGTAGAACTCTTAAGCACCATTTCACTATCGCGTGGAAAGACTTACATAGGTCTCTGTTAGGTGCATCAACCGTGTAGGGGAACACGAGATGTCTTTGAAAAACAAATGTACTTCGCATTTACCCGTTCATTGCGCTGCCTGCACACGTGCACCGCGGCTTCGTGAGACGAGATTCGTGGTAGTACTGATACTTTGGCAAGAGAGTTGCCGGAAGCTTATGATATTATGAACAAGGGTACGGAGTGTATTAGCGGCATGTCTATCTGTTTATTAAAAAAATACACTCTATTAGATACGATGCTTGATTAGCAATGCAGCAGCGACACGCATGGGGTCTGCTGCATGTGGTCCCATGCAGTAGACATATGGTCTACTGCATGGTAGACGACATGTCTGTGGTCTACCATGCACTGTGATCTACCATGCACTGTAGTCTGCCATGCAAAAAGACCAAATGCATGTGGTCTTTTTCAAAATGAAGTCAGTTGATGCTTAGCGCCTGCCCCGTGTGCTGTTTTCTTATTCGCCTTTTTGAGTGCTCTCGCTTTCTACGTTTGCGATGAAAAATATGTCGCACGGCTCATGGTGCCTGAAGTATTGTCATTGTCGGCTAGCATTGTCTATAATTTTGGATTGCGTTGGTCAATGCGGGCTTCGTATGTTCATTTGTTACGGGATAGTGAGTTATGTGGCAGTCGCACAGATAGGGAGGAAAACTTTTCATTGCGCTAACTTGTCCCCAGAGAACCAGGGAACTCAATGTACGAGCAATGCACGCAGTACACACTGTTATAGGCGAGAACATGTCTTCGGCGTCGAATAACCTGATCGTCGGCGGAACACGTCGTCTTTTAAGCATCAGTGATCGAACCTACCAGTGTTATCGTTGGTGCCCGCGTAAGCTCTCTCTCTCTCTCTCGAAAGAGAGAGAGAGAATAAGATGTCTTTATTGATGCTTGACCGGAGAAGCAGCGAGTTATGCCCTAGGGACTTCTAATCCGGGGTCCTTGGGACGTCTCCGGTGACGAGTCAGGCCCGCTGTGATATGGCTTGGAGGTCTTCCGGAAGTCTTTCGCTGAGAGAATGGTCCCGCAGCTCCTCGTTATACGCGAGGAGGGAAGAAAGGAAGAACAAACAAGAAAGAAGGCAGGGAGGTTAACCTGGCACATGCCCGGTCATCATTGAGGGTGGGGCAAACTCAGCCCCACAGATTGACATAATAGGAAAAGGGATGCTGCATATCGGGGGAGGGCGGACACAAAGTTAAACTAGTATATTGACATAGTAGGGAAGGCGGGCACTGCGACGAACTTTCGCCCCCTCCCCTGACGAGGAAAGCCAGCGCACGTGTCTGCATGGTGACGTCATCATATGACATCGTCGGTTGGTTATATGACATCGTCGCTTGGTCAAAAGAGAGCTGATCATGGAGGCTGTGTAAAAACCTAGGTGAGGCGCAGACAGCTTGCAATTCCTCCGATTATGGAGGCAGTGCGAGAACACCTTAGGTTCAGAAAGCTCTTGGAGGGAAGCAGTGCTGGGAGGACGAATACATCAACTCACAGTTTCCTAAAATTAACTAGAGGTGACTTTGGCGCTGCGATCGTTCAGCCACCATGGGAATGTTGGGCAGTGCACAAGTTTGTCTATAGACTTCGTGCTTGCGGCTAGGAACGCACTTGCGGCTTTGCTTGTTGCTGTGTCTTGCCTTTGTTTCGAATAAAAGAACGGACCATTGCGAACTTTGTGACCCGATTCAAACCGGTGAGCCCAATAAGGGGTGAAGTGCAACTGCGGAACCTTTGCTGAACTTCATCTCGCGGCAAAGCGTTTTCAGGGCGCACGGAGCCAAATAGAGCCGAAAGATTGAACATTCGACAAATTCGAGCACTATATTCATCATTGCCATGCTGACTGAAGCGCCGTGCGTTGCAACTCTCATAGACACTAGAGCCAGAGTTCCTTCGAGTGTATCTATAAGAAACGCTATGCATCGGCTGAAAACAAAAGCAAGGAGTCCTTCGCCTACGAGTCGTCTTCGCTGAATGAGGGAGCCTGTCAGTTTTTTTTTTTAGTGTTTCTCTGTGCGGAGCCCGCAAATGTATCTTATAGACTGTTCGCACATTGCAGCTGTACGTCGCCTCGGAAACGCACCTCCGTCCGGTTGTCGCTCTTCTGAGTTTGTTAGATAAGAACTCCGAAGAGATAGAAAGAGAGAGAGAGTGAGAGAGAGAGAGAGAGAGAGAGAAAAGAAAAAAAGAAAAGAAAACGAAAAGAGATGCGAGCCAGACAGAGGGTCGCCCATCGGAGATCCGCAGCGGTTTTGCGAACCGATAAGCTCCGAAGAGCTGTTCGTTCGTCGACGAGGGAAGACGACAGGATGCGTACGTCGTCGCCCGCGCTGCTCTGTCGATCTCGCTTCCTTCCACGAGACCCGTGCGGCGTGATTTCACTTCCTGCGAATTGCATGCACCGCGATGCGCCACCGATGCCGCCTCCCATGCAGTCTACGGCATATGTATAGTTTCCTCCTGCGAGTGATTCTTAAGAGAAGTGCCAGAACCGTTGTTGGGCAACTGTCGCGTGGAAATGATACCAAGTGCACATCGAGTTAAATGGCACTCTGGTCATTTATGACGTAGGAATAAATGCAAGCTGCGCCAGCAGAACCTCGGCTTGCTTGTTAACCACCTACGCAGAATATCAATGAGAGCTTGTTGTACAACTTCTGTGGAAGTATGAGTAGCACACATATTGAAACGTAATAGTCCGCCTTTGTTACCTAAAAAAAGTTGATCATTCCGTCGTTAGAATCGGTAAAACACGATTGATTGATTGATATGTGGGGTTTAACGTCCTAAAACCCCCATATGATTGTGGGAGACGCCGTAGTGGAGGGCTTCAGAAATTTCGACCACCTGGGGTTCTTTAACGTGCACCGAGATCTCAGCACACGCGCCTACATTTCCGCCTCCATCGGAAATGCAGCTGCTGCAGCCGGGATTCGATCCGGCGACCTGCGCGTCAGCAGCCGAGTATTTTAGCCACTAGACCACCGTGGTGGGGCGGTAAAACACGAAAGTAAAACGTGTTATACAGAAGTATAGTTGAATCTTTACTTTCGCGGACCCAGAGGTGATGATTTCGGCTGGCGTTGTCGGAACTTTTTTCTTTGTCTTTCGATCATTCGTATTTGTTGACGTTATTTCCGTGACAGAAATATGTCACGGAAGTCTTGGTACGTGGACCCCTGAATAAAGCACTTTCGCGTTAAAATAATGTTACATGCCATCGAGAACAAGGAACCACCTCACAGTTGATTAAGCCGACGATTGCGATCCTGCTCGTGTTGTGCCGTGTTTCATAACTATCTATTGCTTGGCATTTTAACATCATGGTCAATTTTTTTTATATAGCAAGACACCGCTCGTTTCATGGTTGATCCCCCATGGTGGCTTACGCTGTTTAAAGGGACAGTCAATCAATCAATCTATCTATCAATCAATCAATCCACCATATTGGATGCAGCTGCTCTTACTGCTTCGTATTCTGTAAATAGAACTCTTTCTTATTTACTCTCACCCTGGTGACAATATTGTCACGGTTGTGACGATAAACACGGCAATGGAAGTCGGTAAAGATGGAACTGTTTATTGAACGAACTTGTGCCCGTGAAAAGAGTGACTCTCCAAGTGCAATGATAACGGCGCAGACAGTCGTCAGTCGTCGGATAATCTTATCGGCGCTAAGTTGCGGTGACATTTATACATCTGACATGGAAGATTGCAGGATTATTCTAGGTGGCCGTGTTAGTTCCAGAATAACCCATGCTGTTAGAGTTGGGCGCTCAAGCATATCAGAGCAGTCTAAGAAAGTCGGGAATGTTATGAATTTGGAAGCGCTGCGCCCAAGGCGGCGGATTACACGGGTATCGGGTTCGGCTGCAGGCAAATAGAAGGAGCGGGTCTTGCATTGTACTTGTCGGCTGGGCAGTGATGCCAGAGTCACTGATGAAATTAGCGAGGACGTTTAAGTTTTCAAGTTTTCAACGTACTACCAGCGACTAAACCGACCAGCTGTCTTTGTGGGGCCATAAACTGTCTAAATCTCGCGTATAGTGCATGACGTCAGAGAAATGAGAGCATGTGATTGGACAGAATGGCAATTAAAAAAAAAAACTCTTCGGTTGGAAATGTGTTGGGTGTGGGCGGAGGTTGTAGACTCGCTCTGTGAATTTCTTGCCGACCGGCTGTGCCCCCGCGATCTCCGACGACTGCGCAACTCTGACCGACTGGGTCGCACTACGCCATCTGCTGACGCCGACAAGAACTCCCGCTGAGTGGTGCCACGTCCTCGGACTTTTGTGACGGTGTCCATCTTTTCTACCTTCTCCTTACTTATGTGGCTGTCCCTGCGCCTTTCTCTCTCTATACCTTTAATTCCTCCCTATCCTTTTTTTAATCCCTCCTTACCCCCCTTCTCTGTGCAGAAATGTGGAGGTGCCCTCCATTGAGAGAGAGGCAGTAACGGAACTGCGCTTATTTCTTCCTTTTCCCCTTTCAAGGTCACTTTGCAGCTTGTACTCATTCTGACCGGCCTAAAAGAAACAAGTAGTAGGGAACTCCGGGTTGATTTTGACTACGCGAGAGACTTTAATGTGCACCTCCGTTTAAATTCACGGGGTGTCGTTTTTGTTCGCAGATCCGCGAATAATGTGTTTACGCGGCTGCAGCCGTGCACATTCTGTAGCAGCACCAACGCGGACAAATTGCTACCAACTGCGCTCGACGTAACCCGAACCTTTGCCGTATATAGAGTCGGCCACTGAGTCTCGTCAACCTAGTCGTACCGGTTTGGAGCTTGCATCGAATAATACGATTTCTCGAATGATACGTTCTAATTTCTGGTTCTCGCGAAGGTCTTATCAAAGAGTTTCCACTGCATTCGAGCCGACGTTGAGCGGGTGAAAAATAAATTATCTGGTCAGGTTACGTAGTGCCGATAAGCGGTGGTTTATTCGATCTGTTGGCTGCGTATACGTATCATGGCATCTCAGAAGCGTAAGGAGAAACACCGGAAATGGGAACCAGGCAGGAGGAGCACTAACTTCAAACTGAGTTTATTTTTTCATAAGAAGCCAGTCAGTCGCTGTCGTATGAAAAAAAGAGCAAAAGATGCGCCAAAGTGCATGCGAGCGCAACAACTGAACTAACAAACAAACATAAATACCACTTCTAACGGGAAAACCGCAACGAAAACAAATGTTTAGCGCTCTAGGGTCGTAAAATTCTAGCGAAAAACAGGACATGCCAGGCGTGCAAGCTGCAGCCACTTATCTAACCCCAGAGCTGGATACTTATCGAAGTAAGCCAGTTCACTGCTTGTTAAGTTAGTATACGATAGACTAACTCGCGCACAAGCATTTCCGTGCGGATATAAGACGTTTTAACGATCTGCCCCGATATCTTGCTTCGGTGTCGAAGGTTAACGCTGGTTGTTGTTTTGTCCAGATAGAGTTTGCGCCCCACATTCTCGACAGTGCAGCGCGAGGTGTGCAGAGGGTGATGTACTAATATGCAGTGTACTGTACCGCGTGTTTATGCTATGCGGTATAGTCGCCGTCAAATATGAAATGAACATCGGGCCAGGCCCGTAGCAAGAAATGTTTTTCGGGCTGTCTACCTGCAGAACAGCTTGACCATTTGAGCAAGACACCTATTCTTATCACTTATTTTCGGCAAGACAACCCCTTCCAGAGAACTTAAGCGTGGAGGGGGGTGGGGGTAAATGGGTCCTCCTCCCTCTGGCTACGCGCCTGCAGCGCGCTTCGAATCTACGAACTGCTCCCGGCGACCAGCGACCTTACCTTGACAGTAGTCCCACCTCCCACCTGACTTCCTCGTCTAAGAAGCGACTCACTAGTGGGCGCAGTAAAGCTCTTAAAACGACGCAAAGCGCATACGCCAGCAGGCGTCTTTCCCAGCGTTTCTCGTCTCGTCATGAAGGCTGAGCAACGTGTAATTCCGTGCGCGCGTGTATTCCACCAAGCCTTTCGAAGCCGGCCGCTTGGCTTGTTCTACGTGACGCGGCGCGTCGTTTCCTCCAGTTGCGAAGGAGAACGGGGCGAGCCCCCTCTTCTCTCTGCCTCGGTCCCCTCGATTACCTCACACCGACGACGATGTACGCGTTGGCGGCGTCGTCGACAGCGGAGGGAAAGACGGTGAGTACCGTGACGCCGCTCGAGAAGCCGCCCGCGCTGGGATCGGACGCTTGCACATCGCTGTCGTCGCGCAAGCGACAACTACATGACGAACTCTCGACGAACTCTCGCCGAGCGACGACACCTCAACGGGCCCGTCTCCCCTTCTCTTCTGCCTTGGCCGTCGCCGAAGGAGTCGACATAGAGAAGAGGTGCAAGCCGTTGGCACTGCGCCGGCCGACTCAGGAGTCGCTCCACTCTCGTGTGACATGTGAGTCGCGTGGTTCGTCAAAGCCCGTGACTATTGTAAACGCGTGGGATACGACCCGTCAAAGACGTCTGGAAGACGTACAGGTTGCCAGGATCAACAGGTGCGACTAGGTATTGAGACGGACGTCGAGATACGGCGTACTTTGTCATTTTTCTTTTCGTGGCGCAGGAGATTGTGCTTCGTTTGTTCCGTTCTGAGACATCTACAAGACGTGTTCTGTTTGGCTCAGAGAAGCAGGTGCATCGGTAATAAGCCGCTAAGCGTATCTTAGGCGACGTTAAGTAACAATTTGATTCAAAAGCAGGAAAGAGGCTATGTTTGAACATTCAGTTTTGATACCACCAGAAGGAGTTTCTTTTTTGGCCTACTACAGCATATGCACACAGTGAGAGTCTATAATTAAGAAGTGACATTGTTTTGAAGACGCGGGAAGGACTATCTAAAGCATTTCATTGATAGACCTCCCGAAGACGTACTAATAGGGCTATAGCAGCTGGTGCGCGAGATGTTCAGGCGTTGGTTGAGAGACGACGCTTTGTTTTGAGGGCAGGAAAGAGAGACTGTGCTTGAAAGCAAATTGCGCACTTGTAGAAATACTGGTGTTTGAGGAGACCTTGGGACTTTTCTGAGATCAGGAAAAGAAAGAAAGGCAAGTAAGTTGTTGCGTTCGAGAACATTCGAGAACACGTTTTAGAACAAGTTCTGTGATCGAACTTGACAATACCTCCATTTCGGCTACTCTTGAGGCTCATTCTAAGGGCCATCCTACGAACACTTTTCAGGCTTTGTCTAAGCACAAGTTCTCCGACAAGTGTAGCTGCAATGTGCTTGCGCTCTTGAAAACGTCTCGGATTCCACTTTGTCAAGTAATCTTTAGGACGTTTATGAGACGAATTCTTGGCAAGACTACTAACTTCAATAAGTAAAGCTTAAGATTACGTTCTATCGGACCGGAAAAGTGTACATGTTTCTGACAGGAGGGTGTGAAACTGTTCCGAAAGTCACTTAGCGGAACCATATCTGATGCAGTGTTCACTGAGAAGATCTTCCGCTGTGTGTGACAGTTCCGGGAGGAGCCCAGACTACTCTGAAACTTGATGTCGGTGACGTAGTGGCACAAGGAAGACAGGCCTTTCAGTTTGGTTGCCCAGTGTGCTTTTCGTGGAATGGATTTGGCTGGCTGCCTTCAAGACCGACAACGCCGTTCCGTCAACAGCTGAATAAGCGAGACATTCTTTGTACGGCGGGAACTGTGATAGAACATCAGCTCAATTATGGGTGAGTTGCGCATTTTTATCCATTTTGTTTCTTTGCTTTTGCCACATACGCGGGGGCTCTTGAGTAGGTTATAGACGTTTTTAATGGAGAGGAGGATGCCCCCTTTCCCTTTCTGGGCTGTTGCACGGGAGTACGAAAGCTGACGTCACAGCTTCAGTCCTGCATTTTTTGGGGGGTAACAGCCCAGAGGGGCTTATGGCGGCACCTAGAGAGCCTTCAGTAAAGAGGTCTATACTTTCTGATGGCAATTCATCAGTCTTCATGTGCTATACCGCGTTGTGACAAATTCCGATTTTCATTATTCATGCTCGTTTATATACCATGGAGGGAAAAGATAGTCGGACACGAGCAGCACTGAATCAACTCACCAAGCAGCCAGTTTTATTCAGCTGTAATTATAAACAATGGCACCAAACCCGTAGACAGACAGAGAATGGACTTCAATCAGGAATTATCAGGAATGACTGATACATCAAACCTGTAGCCAGGAACTTTTTTTTGGTGGGGTGAGGGGGGGGGGACTTGTTGAGGGCCTTGATAAACACATATTTCTATTATTTGTCCTCGCTAAAACACCCTCCTCCATCCGAATTTCGGGGGGGGGGGGGCGAGGGCACTCACCCTTTGGCTACGGGTCTGAACCCCACATGCGACTATCACGAGCGGTAACCGGTCACCCTCGTAGTCGGGCGGCGGCTCCATTTTCGATGGAGGTGGAAATGTTGTAGGGCCGCGTGCTCAGATTTCGGTGCATGTCAAAGAACCCCAGGTGGTCGAAATTTCCGGTGCCCGTCCACTACGGTGTCTCTCATAATCATATGGTGATTTTGGGACGTTAAGCCCCACATATCAATCAATTATCGTAATCGGGAAGAAAAAAAAATACAGAAAACTATTTTATTGGTTTCAAAGATAAAACGCACGCGATTGTAAACAACAACTAGAAAAACAGGTTTTATTCTGGCCTCCACAGCCTCATCTGACGTCATCAAACGTGCAGTCATTCCCTTCGCTATCACCCCTTTTTAACACCGAAGCCGATCTTAGTCAAGGCTTTTCACTTCCGGGATCCGTGCTAACGCAGGCGAGCATCATCGAACGGGTATGCGCCACGGAAATTGGGTAAATCCCACCGCATGCTCACCAATGGTACACTAAAATTCAAGGCAACACTGAGGAGGCAAAAAAATGGATATGTGCCACAGGAATCTGGGTGACCTCAACGTCAAGGCACCGGCATGACATGTACATCCCCCCTCCCAGATCACACAACGATTGTTTTAAGTTCAGTTTTTTTCCGCGGGCGATCAGTGAGTGGAACAGGCTGCCGAATTCCACTGTCTTATCAGAATGTGTACCTTCTTTCTTGAAGGGCCTAAAGGATGTCGTGTATAAAGACGTATAGTTTATATTTTGCTTATTCTATGTCCTCAAGAGCAGAGTGCTTTGGCTATTTCTTGTCATTCATTGTCATGTATAATAGAAGTTGTATAGGGAGTACCTATTTTTCTGTATGTATATTGGTTTTTTCCACCCCTGTTATAGCTCAAATAGGGCTGACAGTATAATAAAATGAAAATGAAAATGAAATGACCTGTGAGAAAAGTGTCGTTATCATAGCCGCGTATGGGCCTTGGAAGTTGGGGAAACATATCCGACTACACGCGGGTTACACTAAATATGAATCGGTTAGCCCAGCAAAGGCTGCGCGCGTTACCGTAGTCACATAACTGTCACGTGATACTTTGTGGTTTTAAAAGGTGGTGGCTATACTACCACCTCAAACTCAAAGAAAATCGCTTCATTAACAGCAGTGATGCGACACATCTAGATTTGCGAAACATAGAAAAGCGATAGCTTTATGAATGGAAGGTCACGTTTTTCGCTGTTCGGTTGGTGTCAGCAAAGCTGGGCTGTTATTTTTTTTTATTAGCATATGGCGAGCGAATTCTTTCTGCTTTCAACTTCACTCTAAAAAAAAAGGTTGTAGTTCTTACTGAGTTCGGTTTACTAAGTACTTTTCACATATGTTACTAGCCGGTTAGTAAGTGAACTTAGTAATGGAGAGGTTAGTAACCGTTAATAGCTCCACCGTTACTAACACAGTTAGTAATGGTTACTGACGTAAGCAGCAACAGTTGCTACCAAAAAGAATGTACTAGACGTGATCATTTCGCCTCACGAATTACCTGTTTTCTAAACGGTCGTATTCACGAGCATCAACATTTCGATATATCACTGAGTAATTACGAGCATAATTTCAATGGATGAAATTGCGCACAAATTACGCACATAATCTCGAAGTCCACGCGAAAAGTACAGTTCTTAAGTGGTTCCAGAAGTATTTATAGCCCTTAATTTGGGAAATGCAGCTGGTGCCGGTGGGCGGCTACGCTGTAGGATGTATTTAAGTTAGGCGCCTTTATTTGTAAAACGTACAGTTTCTTTTTAGATGAGCGAGGTAACGTAGTGTAGGATGTTTAATCAACCATATTAGGAAAAACAATTAGTTATGCCTATTTTGCATAACACCGCCTCAACACGGTCTATTATGCAAGACACAAGGTTAACTAGTAAGCTTACATGTATTGCCTAGATGAACTTGAATGCATCCCCGTGCTACTAAATAGGTTGTTAGACGCTCGTAGTAATAACCTCCAAGGTTTGTTTAACAAGTTCATTAAATACGTGCATGATGAAAAGTTACTAACAGTGCGCAAAACGTTGAACAGTTACAACCTTCAAGCGTTTGTTAACGTAAGTAGTGAAAGGTAAGTAATGGCACAAGAAGGTTAGTAAAACAGCTGCTGTTACTAACATTTCGCTCGTGGTTACAAGCTTTTCACAAACTTTTTTTAATAGTGTCACGAGCGGTTGCAATGCACGGCGCATACAGCGCGAATGAACATTCAGAAAAAAGGTGAAGAAGGAAGACGACGTTGGGTGTGCTGTCTCGAGACCCCTTGTGGAAGTAAACGCGAACCATCCAGGCTCGCCTGTTTTTCAACCTTTTCGTGTACTTCTTGCGTGTAACATTTGGTGGAGCTGTGCTGGGTACCTCCCACGACCTACGACGGAGCCGTCAGCACCAGAACTTCGTAGAAGCCGTCGCCTTGCCGGACTTTCGCCATCGCGCCCCGACATGTCTCTGGAGCAAAATGACCCCCTCGGCAATGCCTCGGCAAGACCACCGCTGTATCAGCATTACCGAGAGCCACGGCCGTTCTCAGCAAAGCCAGGGGAAGACTTCGATGAATGGCTGACCCATTACGAAAGGGTAAGCCAATGCAACAACTGGAACCCGGCCAGCCAGCTCAGGCATGTCGTTTTTTATTTGACGGACACGGCCCTGGTTTGGTATGAAAACCACGCCGACACGCTTACTACATGGAGCAGTCTTATTGAAGAAATGAAGAAGTGCTTTAGCGACTCGGACACTAAGAAGAAACGAGCGGAAACAGCTTTAGCTCAGAGAGCTCAGGTGATCGGCGAGACTTGCACGACATATATTGAAGAAGTTCTCAAGCTGTGTAAGACCATCGACTCTCGAATGCCCGAGGAAGATAAAGTGGGACACCTTTTAAAAGGTATTGCGGAAGACGTCTATAACTTCCTCATTGGAAAAGACAACCTGAACACCGTATCAGACGTGATTCGGCACTGCCGCACATTCGAGGCGCTGAAAACTCGCCGAATCACGCCGAAGTTTGGACGGCTAGCCAATGTCACGACTGTGGCCAGCGTTGACGCGAGTCCGCAGACAGACCTCTCAGCTACCATTCGGCAGATTGTCCGTGAGGAGCTCCTGCGGCACGAAGAACAAACGCGTTATGCGGTGCCGCGTTGCGCCTCCGTCGCTTTCCGAGACGCCGTCTGCGCATCTCCTCCGGCTACTTGGCAGCATTCGGTGAATGCTGCGGATTGTAACAGCTGCCGACACGACCCGCATTATGGCCAGACCGAACAACGCCATTACGACTCGATTGATCGGCGTTTTGATCAGCATCCACGCGACGTTCGCCCACGAAGACCCAGCACTGCCTACGACATCCAAGGGGAGGGGATGAGTTACTCTCAGCCTGTGGCCGCTGTGGAATATTTCAATCAGCGTCCGGAAGTTCGCCCTCTGCCCGTGTGTTACAACTGTGGCACGCCTGGCCACATAGCTAGGTATTGTAACCGACGTCGGGCATTCAGCAATGGACAGTCGGGATCGTTTATGCAACACGGTGGTCGTGCAATGGACACTAATAGGCCAGGAAACACCACTTTTGAAGGCTACTTCCGAGAAGAAAGAAGCCGTCACTTCCCTCTGGACAGCTATTCTGGAGAACAAGAAAGGTATCGAAACCGTTACCGCTCTCCTGCCTCCGAACGTACTCTGACACCACCACCAGCTTTCCGAGCGTCTCGATCTCCATCTCCCAGACGGCGTGTGACGTCATCATCTCCTCGACGCCGCTTCGCGTCACCACCGCCGGGAAACTAGCCAGCGCGGCCGATGGAGGTGAGGTCGCTGGAAAATCTTTGCTGCCGACTCGGATACCTCCACCTATCTTCATGCTGAAGAATAAGGTTAATGTACTTATTGATGGCGTTTCTACCATGGCTTTAGTCGACACGGGAGCAACTGTTTCTGTCATGAGTGTGGTGTTCAAAAATCTGCTGGGACGCAAGGTTATGTTTCATTGGGACCACAGCACAAGCTTTCGTGGAGTGAGTGGGGACTCATTATACCCGGTTGGTGTGTGTAACGTGGATGTCTCCTTGGGTGGTCAAACCTTTAACACTGAGTTTACCGTGCTTCCGCGTTCCACACACGATGTAATTCTCGGCATTGACTTTTTGAAATTGTGTGGCGCCAATGTTGACTGCCGAACAGGAGAACTCAGTATTTGCGGAAGTGTGTCCTCTGCGCTCTTAGAAGAATCATCCCAGCAAGAGAGTGTGTTTTGTGTTTCTGAAGACACTGTTGTGCCCGCTTTATCCGCGATGCGCGT